ACACAGGTTTGAAAGTGGGGGGGGGGGAGCAAAGGATAGTTTAATACCCCTAGAAGCCCTATTGTTTCCAAAAATGTTTGATATTAATTTGCTTCCCCCCCCTCGTCAGAAACCCTGAAATGGCATAGTCGTACTATACCCTAATTTTTTCCAATATTTCCAAATACTATTTGGTGTTTTGAGGTATCTGTGGTATTATAACAAATGCATTTCGCTGTATCCAATTTGTCTTTGGGCACGACTGTTAGAAATTGTCAAAATTAAATCTGACTTTTCTCCTTTAAGCTTTTTTGAATTGGATCACGGGCCTTTTGAATGGGATCACGGGCGATCATCTTCTCTGTTTAATAGTCAGTGTAACTGCACTTATCTTTTCTTTGGAAATGAACGAAGTTTTATTTTTATTGATAGGAAATTTTATTTTCTTGCAAAGAATATTAAGACTTTCATGGAAGTGAGAATTGTTAGCTCTTTTTAGATTTTGTCAATAGAGAAGTGGATAATAATGGAGTAATTTCGGGGCAAAATTTTAGGTATCAAAGAGAAGGAAAATGTTGCGTAAAAACCCAATTTTCCTGAATGAAATTTTTCCTCAAATTTCTGACAGTTATACCATTACCCAGGTTCAAATAATTATGGCAAGATCTAATAGGGGTTTTTCCTCACCCACCACTTCTTCAGGCACTGAATGATATTCAAAATCCACACACTCTTGACTTCTATACAGATTGTGGCGAAGCCACGGGGGGGGGAATGGGGGACTATTCCCCCCCCACTTTTTCAGGAAGTTGGTCCTTGAGATTCTTGCAAACCTGATGAGAAAACTTTGGGAGGGGGAATGTACGTTATTTAGATCTTCACATTTAAATGGCACTTCTTGGGAGACAAGAATAGTATCCTCCGGAAGAAAAGGTTTCAATCAGGGAAAAAAGGGCGTAGTCCAAAAGGGCCTGGTCCCTGACACACCTTTTGTCCCCTCCACCTATCCCAGGCTGGAGACGCCACTGTATACAGTTACTCCACAAGTCACTCTTAAAGTCACTCGAATTCATGAGAGGAAGGCCATTTAACGGCTTTACTCTCATGCATTCGAGTGCAAACGGCAGGTCGATACAAAATGAGAAATACTTTTACAACACTCTTACATTTTCTAAATAGTATCTGTGATTCTAGAAAGTTGCCACTTATTAGACTGGTTATACCCTTTTAATAAACTCATCTGAGCTGAAGTATTGTTCAACAATTTAGCTTAAGTATTTGAAAGATTTCTTCTTTCAGATAACTTAACCACCCGAAAAAGGCAGCTGGATATATAACTTTGAAGATTGGATTCTTTGTCAGATACCAGTCTGTGTACCTTGTGAACGCTTATTACCATTCAATCAACAGAAAATAGTTAATACTTCCATAGACATTTGTTTTATATATCGCAATTATGGAATTATATTAAGACAACAAGATATGTAGTATTACCCAGCTTTCAAAACTATATATTTTTATCATAGTGGAATATAGTGATATATTGATGAGAAAGGAACAACGCATACATGAATTAATTTGCAGATATCTTACCACATAATTCGCAATACTGTTTTATTGTGAAAGAAAACGAATAATTGCGTTTAGTCTTTTTTAATCCTTTTATTTGAAATGCTTTGTTGGGCTGTATTGGTGGACGACCTATGCATTTCTATATCAGTACTGACAAGTTTTAACAGAAGTGGCGAAGACATGTTCACCAACAAAGTATCATAGGCAGTTTTGCTGCAGATTTTGTTAATGCCATGTGAGCAAATATAAAAAATTTTACTTCGAAATAAGAATCTCTTTCTTATTCCAGTCCTACACATTTCTCTTACACAGCTGAATAAATCTTACTCATTGAGAAAGAAGTTAGTCAATGAGGCTATCAGCAATCACTTGTCTATTGTGGTGAATGCTACTAGCCCTTCATAGAACACATTCGACTAATTTACACACATCACAGCTACTGATGTGCCCTGTGCTCCAGAGCCCTAACAGCTTAGTCAGAACTTGTAAAAGCCATGCTGTTGATAAAAAATTATGTGTCCATCTGTTGGAAACCCTTTCTTATTTTATGAATAGATTTAAGGTCCAAAGAGGGAAAACTTCAGCCGTGTTCTTGACAGGTTCACATGATATATTGAACGTATTCCAGTCAAGGATTGTTTTAAAAAACACTCACTGCTATTTCATTTTCATTTTTTCATTTAATTTTTTAATAATTTAAGAAGGGTTGATGCATTGTTTATTTCTCTTATTATCAACTTAACAATGATCAATGTTATTCGTCAATTTAACAGGAGAATTGGTGCCTTATCGTCGAAAGAATAATTTCCACCACATCTTTAAGAGAAGGATTTTCGAGCAGTTTCTTGAGGTTGAGGGAGACCAGTATTATTGTTTCTTTATTTCATGTCATCTTAGGACTCCGTTTGTTATAGAAAGTTTCTTACAACAAAGACGAGTCTACAATATGCACATTTGACCAGTATGGAGAGGTCAACCCTGCGGCCATAGTCACTCCAAACTTCAAGCGCCCTTTATAATAATTAACATGCTACCCAGGATTCAAATAAAACATTTTATTTATCATGTCTATTCGACTCGTATCAATCGCTACTTTAGATATTCCACGGTACCGGTCCAAACATAGACCCCTTTTGCCTTAGGTAATTCAAACCGCCCATCTCTTGCTAAACATGGAACTTATATAGAATCTATGTAACAAACAGCGCACAAAGACAGATAAAACTGTAATGCAAGTGAAGTGTCCTAGCAGGTAGCAAGCCTAAAGAACGTCCTTTTTTATTGATTTGTATGCAAGTGAAGTCTCTATCCAAAAGATGAATTATTTTGAGGCTATTTATGACTGCTCCGCCCATTTCTGCAGCGTTCCGTGTTTTATTCCAGCACAGCCATTTGTGCGTTGTCGCGGCAGTCTCGTTCATGTTTAGTTTGAACTGGTTTCGAATACAGATGCAAGAGTTTGGTGATTTCTACATACATTCCGTCCTCATCATTATGTACAACTGAATCGCGTGTGAATCAAGAACCTTCCCGGGATGCATTCAACGCCAAATATGTCGGTGCCTAGAAAGTTTTCTGAGAAGATTGCTATTCAGAAACAGAAGGCTGCCGAGCAAGAAGAGGCCTTCGCTTCAATAATGCGAGAGGTCGCAAGCGCAAGACACTCGGTTTGTTGACCATAACTGCTCTTATATAGCCAGAAACTAGACAGCAGATCTAGGTTGAACATCCGGTAGTAATGCATAGGAAGTGAATCGATCGTTTGCATTATGTCTTAACAATTGTCCTAAATGGAATTCTTTCGCTGCCAAAAAGGGGATTTAGGCCCTAAGTCTTCCACCACAATATAATAGACCGAAGGGGTTTTGTTAACTGTCATCCCAGATAGTAGTGACAAATTTGAGAGGACTAACACGATGTACGGATAGCATTTCTTCTATTGATGACGAAAGTGACAATATTTGCCTTTAAATTGTAAACTCAATGGCTTTGTGCGCGTAGGGGAAACCGTTAACGACGATTGTTTGTGGATAAGAGGGTACTAGGCTCCTGGGTCGCACTATAGTCTTTCAATGGCAAGCTAAATAATTGATCTTTACCTTAAAATTTTCCAAACTATTTACTTAGTCTGTAAATATTACTTTCAAGGCAAGCATTGTCTTTAAAGCTTGACCAATTTAATGTCCAAGATTTCTCTGAGTTTGGTGACACGAGTTGTCAACCAGTTTGTAAATAGCCGATTTGTAAATATTCTTAAGATTCCACGCAGTCTGGCCGGTCTACGAATTGAAATGGGTTGGTGTAGAGTTGCAAGAGAATATTCATCACGTGTATCGATTAAAATAAAAAGATATTGAATCGTAAATATTGTAGGAATCATCTGCTGTATCTAATAATATTTGGCTGGAATCAAGTGTATGTTAAATACTCGATAAATGTTTAAAAATATGTTTGATAAGGTTGATGTTTCTCTATGTATTGGGCGAACTCAGTTCATTTCAGTTCATTTCAGTCCATTTCAATTAAAAATTCCACTACATACAATAAATTCAAAGATTGATTACAATTACGACTAGAATACAAAAAAAAAGAAGATAAAGAACAACAAACCGGGGGAAATTATTGTATGTATTAAGGAATTTCTTAAAGAAGGAGCTCTCTCAATAGCTATACTAATCAAGGAGAGAACACCCCTTATTCTTAAAAGCCTACTGTTTTATCTTACTATCTTATATTAGAAAATATTGAGAACTAAATTTTTTCATGGGATATGTACTTGAGCTTGTTCAAATAAATAACCCTTATAGTAAGGAATGTTAATAGTTACCATATACAGCATTGTTTGTTTAATCTTTGTTTGAAAAGTATGGTAATATAATTAATAGATATATATGAATAAAACTTTATAACCTGCACATATATAAATAAAATGCTAAATGATCTTATAGAATGTTAAATTATGCATTGCTGTGTTTCACTGGCTCAACAGGCAGTTGGTGAAAATAATATAACATTTTATGCAAAGAAAAGCTATATAGAATTTTGATGAAAATATTTCAAATGAGTTAAATTACCTTAAATGCTTTGGATATTTTATTTTACAAAGGGGTTTGACAATGTCATTGTTTCAAAAAATTGTCCTTCAGCCCTCTCTTTTACCCATGTGGTCCCTGTAGGATTTTGCTACAGGCTATGAGCCTATGCAAAAATTGTATAAGTATATATAAGTAAAAAAGTTGTTGGTATCAGCCATTAATTCTTAAGAAGGTTTTAGCCAATTTTTGTCTATTACTATATTTTTATTTGTCGTTTTTCTGTACAGAATGTCAATCCTCGACATGGCATGAGCAGTCTACCATCTAATATGATGTATAAAGGTGGCTCTTTACCTGCTTTTCCAACACCACATCAAGAAGTGCAGGTATTTATACATCTCTCAGTGTCATTGCTAATTTTCCAATTGATATTTCAACATACTGTTAGCTGCATAGCATTTTATATGTATCTAGTAGAAAGATTCCTTAGAGTTGCTCCTACATGATATGCTTGCTGTGGTCACAAGTTGTGAGGTTGTGTTTTGTCTAACGTTTCAGAACATGACTGTTGTGGTAAGCTGCTATGTTTCATAATCTAATCAAGGTTGCAATGTGGTTTCTGTAAGTCATTAAATCCTTCTTAAACAGCTGGAGAGTTCAAATGTTTCAAAGGTCTTAAGGGTTAGGTTGGTGAGGCTAACTACAAGTTGGTTTGAGTAAATTCAGTTAAATCTTGCTTTGAATCTTGATGTGGCCTTTATATTTGCGATTGTAACAATATATACTGTTTTATCTCAACAATAGTGATAGTCAACCTTGAGTTTCTGGCCAAGTATTTTAGAATTTAAGAATCCAAAATATCCTAACAGTGGATACTAACCAGTATATAATACTATATATAACAGATACCTCATATTTTTGACATACAACATTATATTACTTGACAGACAACATATCATAATGAAAATTCATGTTAGAATACATGAGGTAACAAAAGCATAACATTAACAAACTAAGATAAAACAGCATATAACAGAACATAAAAGGTACCTTAACACACCATAAAGCAGAAAAAAGAAACACAGCTTGAAATGACTTAAACATGAACATAAGTATAAAACATAACATAACATAACAAAACACAACAAAAATAGATGTACAGACCACATGACTATAACAAAAAATGAGATATCATGCATTACATAACATAGAACATATGTCATGTTATATATAACATGCAACATATCATTATCATCATCATCATCATCATTATCATCATCAGGACTTCAGCCAGTAAAACCATCAGTGCACCAAAGATTTGACATCATTATATGGTTAGTTCAGTGGCATGTTCATGTCAGCCTTCCTAGAGTTCTCCTAATTTAACAAGTATCCTGTCTGATGTTTTTGTCATCTTTTCTTTGCTAACTTAATGTCCAGAAGAAGCCAGTTTTTTTCTTGCCACTGTCTGTATGTTAGGTTACTCTTTTGATTGTTCCCTTAAACTTTATCCATGATCTTGGCCCATACATGATCATTATGATTGAACAGACATGACATAACCAAGCATTACATAACATAGCCTATTTTGCAGAACAGAGCACAATGTATCCTAACAGAGCATAACAATGCAAAGCAAGCTGCCCCATCAAAAATTGTAGAAAAGAAGGGCTTCCACAAACATCTGCAAGGCAAAGTTTTTTTTAATGTTTCTTTTTTAGTGCTATAAGCATCTGAACTTGGCCCAAATAAAATGGCATAGTTTGTACATGCTGCATTGTTAATTTAGAACTGGATCATGGCAACATGTTTTAAGGGATGTTTCAGATAACTTAGTTCAGGATGAGATAATGATTAAAAATACTTTGGAAAGAGATTAAGCTGTTGTTGCACCACTTCCTGGTGAATGCAGGGGAAGTGGAAGAGGGTCTACAGTTATGGCTCATTAAAATGCAGTCCAATGATTCTCTGGAGAGTTAAAATCAGCTTCTCACCCTACCTAACTTCTATCAGAGTTTGGATAATGAGAATATGCCTCTCACAAAACACCATGCAAATAGAGTGATGAGCCTTTTTAGTTCAACATTTTCTCTCTAAAATCTAAAGCAGACTATGAACCAGACGATGGATAGCCATGTCTGTGAAGTCCTTTGTGTCTAAACCAACAAAATTCTGCTGACCTTTCTGCTAGCCTTCAGTTTAAAGCACAGCATTGCTGTTTCCACTATTAACTAATTTCTTGAAACTACAGAAATGAGTTTTTTTCAAATTTTACAAGCAATGCCTTTTGAGTTTAGAATACACATCATATTCTTGTGCAGATGTGTTGATTTTAGTGTGTGGCACTGACCTTTTGTTAATTTTTCTGCATTAGGCCCTCACTAAGAAAATCTTAGACACCCCTGTCATATAGCATGGAAAGTGTAGCTATCCCCCTAAATTCCAGTGCTCCGCATGAATGACTTTTACATGAAATAATTTCTAAGAAAACAATTGAACTTCTTTTGGCTTTCTGAACAGACTGCTAAACAAAAGCTTAACCCTTTTCAGTTCTTTAATTATATCAAAGAAATAATTATATTAGGAACTGTATTGAAAAGAAAAACTTGGATAGGATATATTTAAAGTTGTTGGCTGACAGTGAGATGCTGGTTTGCTAGGGAATTGACAATAACTCTGGTTATAAGCTATGAATAAAAGCAAAGTCATAAGAGTGCCTTAGCAGTTGTTTAGCAGTTGAGATGTGCAATATCCCAAGTCAGGTCATATGTTAAGGGGTAGATGTGTTGAAAGGATGCATTCTCATATTGCATATAAACAACTCAGCCCTTCAGTTGCCGTTCAAAGTCCAAATATTAATGAGATGATATTTTCTTGACCATGCGCTATGCATCTAGAGAATCATGTTTCTAACTTTAAAACTTGTATTCCCATGTAACTGCCATACCAATGTGTAAGTAACATTATGTCTTTGATGTATGGTAGGTAATAATTTGATGATGTGATAATAATTTGGCTTATGTTGAAGCTGCCATTTAAGGCATTGCTTTTAAGCCTGTGTTTAGGCATTAGTTCTAAAGTTTTTACAGGTAATTAATGAACAAAACTGATTATCTCAGTTATATGTGATGTATTACTATTCAAGTTAAATAGTATGCCTTTACAATAATGTTGCAAAGAAGCTCAATATCCTGCTTAATTGAAGCTGCAAGCAATTCCTTTAAGCCTATTTCCATATGAGTAGCATTTTTTGTTATTGCAAGCATGATTGATTCAGATAGAATTTGTCCTCTTACACACAGCTTTGTTCCAGTGCCTGTAAAATATCTGTCAATTTTCTTAATTACAAACATGGCCTTCTTCACAGTCCCCTTATCCTTTCAATATGCATTAGAAAATAGAAAGAAAAAAACTTTAATGCTAGATATCACAGACAAAAACAAATTGACGTCATAAAAAAACCAATTCAGGTTGATCTGTTAATGTTTTTGTCAGGTTTTTTGTAGAGATAGGTTTTGTCCAAGGACCCTTGTTATCAACTGCGAGGTTGATTGCAACTTGTAAACACTGTATTACTTATAAACAAGTATTGGCTGGTGTCAGGTCGCATGCTCATTTGTTTTCTCTTGTTCTGTGAAATTACTGAAGAAATATGGGCGTATTTCTAGAAACAACGGTTTAAATATGCAGTACAATACGAGCATGTTTTGACATAATTCAAGTACATAATTAATTTGGTTGTGAATGCTTGATCTTGACATTATTTACAAGCGTTTGAATGTATGACAGTTTTTGTCCGATGCTGCTCCTTATTTTTGCCATAAACTGAAACATGCTTGTAACAAGCAATACCTTGGAAGCTAATTGGCCTAAACGGCTGAGATATAGAAACACAGGCCCTCTTTCTACGAAATCGCTGCCATTTTGAAATTTACAAATGAAGCCAAGTTATGCCCTTTTTTAGTAAACTTAATATATATTTCACTTGCTTTATCTCAGCTAATTTGCAACAAATTTAGCAGTTATGGCCTATCTCTAGTTATCTTTGGTGTTCTTTCAAACTTTTTGAGGCCAGATTCAAAAGATTCAAAAACACATTCAGCAGTTTAACACGTGTTTTAAGTGGGCAGAAAAACTTTTTTGTACGAACACATTCTGTGTTTGTATGTAACTGAGTACTGAGCGTAGAAATTTAAGTTTATACTAGACATAAACAGCTGGTCATTAAGTTCAGAAAAATTTATAACGTAAAGCACGTGGAGTCAGTGTTCAGCTTCTCAGATGATCACTCCACGTGTGTTGGAAACAATTTCTTCTACGATGATAACAATACAGCGACGCATAAATCAAGAACTTTATTTTAATGAATAGAGAGAGACTGGGCGTAGGAGTTCAATTAGTTTGAATCCATAGCAGCAACATATGAATTCTTCATTGTCTAATTTTCTCGATGTTTTTTGTCAAAGAACATCATATGCATGATGTCATGGGTTTTCGAAGTTTAGCAGGTAGAGACTTTGTGTCCTAATGCTGATTTTACTGTAGTAAACAAGTAAATTTTCCCTTCAACACATGGTAACTACCATAAACCACTAGAAACTAACGCCAGGTTGCTTCAGTGACGTTTATTATCTCCCTTTCTCCCCCCTAACAAACTTGAATTGCTTCAACCAAAGATCAGTCCGTTTTCGTTTATACTGAGACCATGATCTCAAGCATCATTCTATTTTCTGGACCATTTTCGTTTTCATTGCTTTTTTCGAATGTAGAAATAGTTCTGCGTAGCCAGTTATTGTAGCTAATTAGCCAGTGTTCAGTAGAACTAGTTCATGACCGAAGTGGCTTGTCGAGCAAGAGTGACGTGCTAGATTATCGCTGGTGACGAAATGTATTTTAACTATAAGTATAGCTATGTGATGTTAGATTTAAGTCGCTGTTCTTGAAGGCATATTTGGTGCAACAAGCAATGCATAGTTTTAGCAAGGAATTTGAAAAAGCCAGAATGCAAACCAGTTTACGACCGCAATTCAATGTTTCATAACACATCTTGAATGGTTAGTGATCAATTATATATGTAGTTCCATGATGATTTCTTTTGTTATTGAAAGATTTTCTTGTTCTTTTCGGTCGTCGTTTCTGGGCTAGATCGTGAAAGCGGATAAACCTAGAGGCAACATATGTCTTTGATTTTGAAATTTTCTCACTTCAGTTTCTTGAAAAGATTTGCTGGACTTTTTTTTCTTTTTTAAAATGGTCTGTAGTTCTAAACTTGGTTTTTAGCATGATGTCGAGAGCACTGGAAATTCGATTTAGTATGGACCATTTGTCTCTTTATTTAACGCCTTAAGTTGGATGCAGCTCTTTCTTTGAGCGCCTTTATTACACATGCCGTAATCTTCTCAAATTTTCTTTGTGATTTCACCGTGAAGCGCTTATCTAAGGATTATGAATCTTGAGCTGCAGGTTATGTCTTGAGCGTTGCAAGCTTCAAACCGGATTTCATACTGTATAAATACCTAGCTCATGAACGCACTTAAATTTCTTGTACCAAAAATATGCTTTTTGTTTCGAAAGCTTCGATCAGAAATTTCGTAAGGACCTTTATTGGTCTGTTTGCACTTTGTGACGAATGTTCAAAATTTTCTTCGTTTACTTGTTGTTTTATAACTTCGATAAAAGAAAGTCTGTTTTCTTTGTCTTATTTGCCTCATAATTTTGGTACGTTAGACATCAAATGATCCTTTTATTGGAAGTGTTATGGCAATTCTGGTCATCCTCGTTAAGAAAGTGGATTTATATTCACTTTCTGTTGGGTTGAAGAACTTTAGTTTTGTATCAAAAGCTTTATGAATAACTAAAGGCCTCTATAGTTAATCAGTATACTATTTTTCTAGTTTATCGTATTCAATCATGTGATCATAAACATAAACAGCTTGCATATTCACCTTTAAATAAATTATGTCTGCTTCATAGAACCTCAGTGAGCCCTTGTGTAGTGTGACCGACCTTGAATGTTCAATGTGTAGTATCACATTTTGTTGAACGTGGATGGAAATGTTTGTGTCGCAGCCACGAGTAATAGTATCTACTCGATTAGGAAGGACTGCCGTACTAAGTGTGCATTTTTCGTGTTTTTAGCCTCTCATAGGTTTATGAGAAGAATGAACGAATTAGGCAATCCTTTGATGCCTGCCAGACATCTTGATACCCAAACAAATCTTTTGAAAATTGAATGATCAAAGCTGTTACTTTCTAGTTGATTCCTATCATACAGTTGTTATTGCAAACTCTAAATCAAAATCTCCGCAACCTGTAAATCTAAATTGAATTAGGGAGAGATGATGTGCTAGCTCGGCTTTACAGTAAACGCTTAGTAGAAATGGTTAAACTGTTTTGGTTTCAGAGCATGGTTTTGACATCGATTATATTAAGTACAAATGTGTGCGCTACCACAATATCTGTTACAGACACGTGCACTGTGAATCCTCGAAATGGTCTCTTCGTGCTAGCCCCCCTCTTTGCACAAATAAGCCCCCATAAGAAACCTTTAAATTAATAATTCGAAGCTTAACGGTAGTTTCATGTGATTAGTGCATCTAAACACGTTAATGCTGTTTGATACGATAACACATTACGCAATGTACAGATATAAATTGTTTGAATGCTCTTTAACTGAATGCTGTCTGTATTTATCAATAAAGATACCCGTGTTATTATCAAGCCCCATTTGTCTTTTTTTAGTTTCATTGCCACTGAAATGAATCGATAATGAGTTTGAATATAACATGAAAGAGATAATCATTATGCACCTGTAGACTGCTATCTATTGCACTAAGTAAGATTGTTAAGCAATAAACAGCTCAAATTTAATCATTTTACAGTTCTTGGTCCGTAAATCATGATGTTCATGTATACACAAACCGTATTGCCTTGTTATGCAAACTTTTATCGACATTATCGCAATACGGTTGTATGTTTTGGTCAACACGTATTGTATCTATTATTACAGTAGGATTTGATTTTCATCCTTTGCAGATTGATTATTCATGAAGAAATTTTACCAGTGTAAAGAAAGACACACTAAAGCTTTTATGTTCTCTCTTTCATTTATTGCTTCCTCCAGAGTCCAGTATAAAGAGTTTTTAAAAATTGTGTTTTTTGAAAATGTCTCACTTAGTGCCTGGGCTTTGTAGAAATAACTGTTCTGAAAACATCCCAACTTTTACTATTTTGGTCCAAGTATATTCCTGTCCAACGGCCTAAAATCCTTTAATGACTGGCTATTTGGTTGGCAAAACCATGCCAGTGGTCATTGCAGATTTTGATAAAAATGTTCGGAAGCATTTGCTCCTTTCTAATCTAAAACTACATATTATCTTCTTTTACCCGCTAAATTGCTTTATATCTACAGAGCCCTGTAAGTGACATGGTGCAAGATCTTTCAGCAACGTTTCCTGGCAGAGCTGTTTACGATGACCAGGCATATCGGCCTCGTGTACACCCCGGAAGAGTGCTGCATAAACAGAGGCAAAGAACAGGTATTAGTCTTTGAACTGTCTTGGCCTAAGCTAAATCTTTAACTGTTCAATTTTTTGTATTAATGAGAATCCTGAATTGGCTTAAGGTTATGAAACCAATTAACACTGCCAGTAATATTTGGGTAGTTGAAATCGTTTTCTTTAGGCTAGGATAAATGATAGCACAATTAACAAAACTAACGAAATTTAGCCTATTCCACGCAAGATGATTTTCATCACTGATCATCACTGACTTCAAGTTGCAAATCCAGTATCATGTGACAAATGCATCTTCAGGGCTTACATAGAAAGTTTTATCAGGAAAATATTCCATGACAAAATTTTAACATGATGATCATATCTCTCGTTATTAGATAGTTCACCATATCATCTACCCCAATATCAGTCGCTGAGAGAAAGTGGTTCTTGGAGACGGTAAGTATTCACCCCTGGTACATTGCTCCTTTCTTTTCAAGCTTAAAGATTTCCATCACATGGTTAGTGCCAACAAGTGTTCTGCTTTATCACTTTGTTATGCATTAAAATATTCGATTTTTAAGCATTACACAAATATCATTTTCAGTCAGTGCTCCTTGAATCTTCCACACTTTGACTGGAAAAAAACTGATCGATATTCTTCAAGAATTAGCCCTCTGTTTGTCTTTTCCAATATTTTTTAATTACCCTGTTCCAAAAAATGTTCATGCTATCTCATGTTATTCTCAAAACTGAGAATTATCAACTACGATTTTATACACACAGTGTAAATACCTTTGCTTTCTGATTTTAGAACCTTTTCGGACCCTGCCATTGCTGCTGGACCAAGAGGTAAGTCCCCTTTTTTGTCTATTCTACAAGGCAATGGCTTCAATAGCACTTTTATTTGGGCTTTCTGTACGCTTTTAAAGCTACGGTATGTGTCTCGTATCATTGGTGGTCGATGCACGTCTCTCAAGAAATCTGGCTAAAGCTCATTAAGCCACGAGACCTTACCTCAGACATGCGCAACAAATGACGTGTACATGTACAGTTGACGCTCATTCTGCACGAATTTTGAACTCCGGCATCACTGAAGCTCAGCAACTATCATATAGATTATTCTAAACGAAATGCTGTGGGGACTAGTCAAGGATTTCGAAAAGATTAGGCCACTGTTTTTTATGCATTTAATTAATGGGATGGTCTACCAGGAGACCAGAATAGATCAAGGGCTGATCTGATTTTTCAGTTGTGGCTTTATCCTGTTGTCCTCGAACTGCAGTTATGTTTTTGGTGTTCTGAAGAACAACTAGTGATTGGTACTCTGCTTCGTTTTAAGATGATGGTTGTATATTTGTATGATTTGTCCCCGATGCATTGCCAGAACTGTCACCTCTTTGATATTGCTCTTTCCAGATCTATAAACTATCAGCAATACAAAGTGCCAAATATCATAGTCTGTTGTTTTGATCTAGCTATTTGTAAAAGGCTATTTGTTGTAATTAAACTCATGAACTAGCTTAATTTGTTGTAATTCTTTATTGTTGGTGAAAGATCTTTCATAGACGATACGAAAAAGCTGTTAACGTTTATCTTGATCACATTTTCATCATCTCTTAGGAAGTACAAGTCCAAAAGTGAGTCCCAGTCCAAAGGTATGTTTTCCATTATCCAGCTGTATTCTGTTCCCTGAGTAGAAACGACGATGTATGGTTAGATTTGTGATATGAAGTCTATTGTCGTGTATGAATTATGAATCTTCCAACAGTGAAGAACTACAAGCTCTGTACCTGTGAAGCTCATTACTTAAAACTGTCGGCACTTTCCAGCGATATTAGCATCTTAAGCGTTTCAGAGACATACTCAGCATGTTATGTTTTTGTTGCAAAGGTACTATTCTTAGCCCAAGGTGGTCCTATTGTCACATCCATTAATGCATTATTAATGGTTATTGAAGGCGAATCAGAGATTTGGCTGCAAACCTAAAATATCTAAACCAATGAATAGACTCTTGCTGTGTCTGACAACTGCATGTCTTAGAAACTGCTTCCTACTCACGATATTTGCATTTATATGGCAGATGTGGTCGGAAAGCTTGAGAGAGGTTATTTATAGTTTGAGGCCCAAAATTGCTCACCGTGAACTGGATATGCCCAATGAGCTTGATGTTACTAAAGTACAAATGACGAACTCATTTTTTTGTCCAGAACTTCCCAATTTTTGTAAAATTTCTGGTACCGATTGGTCTTAATCAAACCAATGCTATGTGAGGTTCAAAGCAGTCGTTTCAGAAATGCAAAATGGAAGATGTACATAGAATCAATCGTTATGATGCCCTGAATATCAGAATTCATGACGTGTTGACGCTCTTTTTAGGAACCAAGATCACCCCAAGGCATGTCAACCCAACAGGATACAAGTCAGGTTTATGGGTATGCTACCATTTCTATGTGATTCTGGGACGCATTACTATCATCTTTCGTACTTAACTCTAAGCTCACATGCAAATCTCATTACTTTAGAATCTTTCCCAGCTTATCTATGTTCCTTAACTATATACTTAGAGGATGATAATTTCGTTTTACACAACGATATGTACATTTTTTGTGAAGATCAGTGGCGGCTGGCAAGCAAATAAGATGATACTAGTGAAGCAAATTTTGTGAGTAAAGCGAACCAGCTGGGAGTATAGAGGGCCTGGGGGTGTGGCCCCTTGAAGCCATATGGTCAAACTGACTTTTAATCCCAGACCAGAAGCTTCCCAACATACTTTCGAATACCTCAGTTTTTCACGTCACTGCTGAAAAGGCTGCAATGGCTAAATGGCCATGCAGCATCATAAGGAAAGGGGAATTTAGTTCCGTAGATGAAATTTCAATTGCTAGATAATCGAAAGCAAATAATTTTACGTAATAATGAGTCACAAATGAGAATCAGACAGGCCTCTTTAGTACTGGTTGAATAAGGTCTCTACTCTGGTACTAAAGGTTAGGTACTTAAGGTCTTGTACTTAGGTCTGGTACTAAAGGTCCGGTACTAAAGGTATGGTACTAAAGGTCTGGTACTAAAGGACTTATTCAGTGCTTATCGTTCAACAATTGAAATTTGGCGTGGTGTATTCTGCCGCACTACCTTCCATTTGCTTTTGCAATAAATTCAGTATGTTTGTATCTTTGGGGAAAAAAAGGAAAATCGTACAATGCAGAAAGATTGAAGTTTCCAAATTAAGTGGTACTCAGGGGCGGACACTTGGTCAAATATTGGGGGGGCAAGCCTATTGTTTTAATAAGATGACGTCACATTTCCCATTGTTTTAGAACAAAAGACCATTGTTCTCTAAAGTATTGGGGGGGGCGATCGCCCCCCCCCCTCGCCCCCCCCCCCAAGTGTCCGCCACTGGTGGTACTAGACTGTTATTGCTAGTACCGTTGAAAGCCGCCACTTGTGACGTTGAAACGTTTATTATCCACTCTTCAATCAACCTTTTTGTTAAAAGCCCTTCACGCGTTTCTCTTTTCATCCCCAAATTTCAAGTTGTTAAGGGTTATTTATCAAACGAGAAATTAAGGGTTTTTTAAAAGCTCTTGCTTTAAGGATCGTGTTTTATCCTCGAAAAAAGTTCTTCAGTTTTACAGAAACTGTTTTACTTGTTTCCAGACAGTCCCTTCATGTGGATCTGCCCGAAAGACAAATCTCTTGCAAAGTACTGAAAATAGAGACACTCCGATTTATTTTTTAAAGGCATTTCTTGGAGCAATATATCTGTGTTTTCTCACCTCGATAGATTAAGAACACGTTGCATTGACAGCGTATTATTATATTTGGTCATTGTATTGGTCCACGACATTTTATGGCAAAACACTTCACTTGTTGACCTATGTTTATTTGTCCATGTTCCTTCGTCTTAGAAATTCAATTTCACAAGAACGACAAACACACCACATGAAGATTCTAAATAACACTGGCTCTCTGCCTGATGTCGCAAGCTTGTCTTTGGAAATTCCGAGAAGCGTCCCAGAAGATGACGGGTTAATGAAGAGTCCACAAGCGAACAATAATATTAAATTCACCGTACCCACTTCCATTCCAGTGAGACGAAACCTTAATACTGGAAAACAGGTCTTTCCAAGACAGTTCTCTAATTCAGAAAGCAAAGATACCTTGTCAAAGGAGCAACAACAACGATATTTGATCAACCAGCTTGCTCAGGAAATGCAAGGAAACAATTTACATTCACCAACGTCACCTGCTTCATCAATGCCGCCTCCTTTTGGTTCCATATCGCCACTGGCTTATGAGGCTGTTTTTTCACCTAATTCGGGGCTATCTTCTGTCACCAATACGAGTGCTTTCGAGCAAGAACAGTACTTAAATCTCCTCCGAATGAATGACATGATGTACGACCAGATCAATAAGCACGTACCGCGTTACGATGAAGCACAACAGCAACGACAACAACAACAGCAGCAACAACAACAACAACAACAACAACAACATCAACAACACATGAACATGATGCAGGGTAATATGCAACAAAAAATGATGCAAAACCGACCTATGAATGTGAACCAGGTGAACGACGATTTTGCCAACCAGTTTCGTATGAGTGTCACTGGAAACCCGGAGCAAAGAGACGATTTGCCAGACGACATTTTGAACACCATCCGCGTTGGTCTTGATCCATTGAATTTCGAAGATTACCAACTTCTTGCCAACTCGAATTTGGAAGTTGCTGATCAGTCCGTGGAAGAGCAGTTCAGGCAAGATCGGATAAATTTCCCTTAATATATGCTAAATGTAAGATTGATAATTGTGGCTTATTGATAATGGTGGACTTCGTTACGAATGGCACAACTAAACGGCCTTTTACAGCCACAAAACAACGTAGCCTCGTCATCATTACATGGTGTGGAGGCGCTACAGATTATATATACACCTGACTGGTTGGACAGATAAGAACTTCTGAACACCCTCATATGAGTATCCGAATCCTTATATGGTGACCTTGTTTTGTATAAGGTTATATGTTAGCTGGCAATATTTGAATACTTCATAGTTGACAAGGGGTTGTAGCTTTGATTTTTAGGGCTGAAGAATTTCGCAAAGGTGATTTGCAGTTATTTCTTGATCTTTTTTGCCATTACAACGATTGCCCCCTGTCCCAACTATACTGTGACTAAAACTGAATAATAGTGCAAAGTGTAGAAGAACTGCATAATAGAAAATTGCGGGCAATCATAAAAAAGATTGGTTTGACGTTCATTGCACTAGGTTTATCGAGGTATAAAGTTACCTTGCAGATATTAAACCGAGGTTTGTTTGCTCTGTGCGGATAAGCCAATAAGTTCTTTGCTTACAGTAAGGCCTCGTTTTGAAGTCGCTTTTACAATTAACTGCCCTTTCGAAGGCGATCCCTGTAGCCAGGTCTTGCAATAAGTCTGCATGGAGTTGCAGTACCTTTATGAGCTCGGGTTTATTTTAGCATAGCACTTCAAGTAACAAGGTATACGTTCATCGTAGGCTTTTTATTGAAGAACGACAAAATTGGTTGAGTTCCTTTTATAATCTTATCGAAATTTTATTTGCATTTTGTTTTTATCCCACCGTTAAAGCGGCGTCATAAACTGTGATACATTGCCGAATCACAGTTTTTTTTAATTTTTTTTTATTCCACTATGCAAGATAAATACGGAAGCAATGAAAAATTGTGAAAAATTTCAGTCGTTTTACACGAACATAGAAGACAAATGAACAACTGATGATAACCCTTAAGTTCTTCTTTATCTTATATTAATTTAATATTTGTTCCTGTAGCCTCGTGGTTTGTAGGCATTCTAGCTAGTCTAGAGTAACTTTCATCTTAGCTGGAATAAAACCTTAGTATATTTTAGGTAGCTGTCACTTGGACATGTTTTCTTGTCCATCTACTATATAATGTTACATAATCTATTTGAAAGGAGTTTCTATCGTAGAAGCAATGATATCGCGAGGAGTGAAATTAATCGCGGAAATTCCTTTGAATCTAATATTAAAATGATCAATAACCTAGATTCTGGTGATGCCACTTTTTAAAGGCCTAGATAGGTTGACAAATCACACTCAATGATCATAGATGTAACGCGAATGACGATTGATGATCTTCAAATGCGGGTTGCGTAATACAGAAGAGGAACCTCTGATCGAGCACCTGTTTTTATCCTTCTCTTCAAGAGATAGATTTTGAATACAAAGGTTGTTATTAGATTTAGATATTATGTTTTAATTTGATTGGCTTATATTTGTAATGTTCTTGTCTTGATTCGCCACTGTTCAGCTTAATCACGTATTTTTACTCGATATGCTATAACCGTGTTGTTTTGGTCCAAGTGTCGTATATATTTATGCAACAGAACCAGTATTCTAGGGGGTATAGCCGATAGATAACACACGAATATTTTTCTGTCTCTTTGTCTTAGAATTTTGATGTCAATTGTTGTATTTGGCATATTTCTTTTTCAGTACAGACAGGTAGTTTGTAGCTAGCTAGCCGGGCTTGTACAATTCAATTGAAAGGATAGCATTCGAAAAGAATAAAATCAATGGAAAATTGGAGTAGCTTTGGTTTGTCAAGGTTCCTGGTACAAAGAGAACGCTAGCACTGACAACCTTCGTTGTCAAAAGATCACCATGTCCTGTCAGTCAACAGAGTTAACAATACGTTCTCCAGCGCGCCTATGATTTTTGAAAACTTTGAAAATTAGCCTTACGTTATCGATTGGATACGTAACAATATGTTGATATTTCAGTTCAACCAATGGGAATTTTAAATGGCCATCAAAATGCGCCGGGGCGTAGTGCCTTTGATGTGTAGGAACCTTGTTATCTCTATGCAAGTGGTTGTTGCGGCTTGCGAGGTAACTCGAGCTCAAACTGAACTCAAAAATTGTTTCCAGTATATCAAGCAAATGTTGTTTAATTGCAATAATTAATAAATTGCGTTATAAGATACAAGACAGTTGTGATAAAGAAAGATAAGCAACATACATTTTTACTGAATTAGCTGATGGTCAAATCTCGAGACAGAGCTATTAAATATTTTCTTAAGACTTTCAGTTGGACTGGGCATAATTTGAAGTAGAATGGAATTGAGAAACTAAAAAAGGTTTTTTAACTCTTAGCAAAAAATAGTATGCCAACAAAGATAATGGAATAGAGACTGGATAGGAAAGCCGGTAAAGATCAAAAGCTTAAACAATCGGCTTCGATTTGATGTTGCGTTTTGAGAAACTTTTTCAGAGAAGTCAAGGTCGACTTCCGGTGGCATATCAAGCTACTGCAATGGCTTCCCACCACGAAGGGTTGCTCGATTTTGATGATTTTTTTGACGACGAATGGATGAATGAACAGGTTGAGGTAGGAAACTGTGTTTTATGCTACACTTATCGTTGCATGCGCAATACTTCAGAGCTCTAAATTTAGCTTTTTAGCTCCCAGAGCTGTGTTTTTTATCTTAGACCAAAAATTATGATGTGGCCAAAATAAAACAAAACGAGGCCTAGCTGACCGACTTCGACTTTTTGCTACATATTTGACAGTCCTTTTTCGATTGTAATCTTATTTTCCATGTAAAAATTCTCAATTTCTTTTACTTTTAGGAGATTTCAATTGCGTTCTGTAATGAAAATGGCATTGAAGTTATTTTGGAGCGACCCTTGTCTGACAAGACACGAGGAGGAAAGAGCAAAAAGACGACGTCAAAGCAGCAGAAAGCAAAACAATCAAAGGATGAAATACAGTTGCCAATTTTCAACGAAATCGGATCTTTAATTAGGGAGGCTATTTGTAGTATGGAGGCTGATGAGATGATTTATCACATGTATCAAAGTGATATACAAAAACTCAAGACCCTCGACAGCTTCCCACTACAGGAATTTATTAAATCAAAATTTTTTGAAACTTGCAAGGGTATGGCTACCACCTCAGCTATTTCACCAAATGCCAAAGAAACCATGTGGGTAAAATTTGATGAAATATGGAAAGATGAAGCCTTCACTGAATCTGTACAGAACTCTTTCTACATCACCAAAGATGTTTGCTCTTGGTTTTTATTCACACTCCAGCAGACCATTGCAAAAAGATTGTTTACTGATAAAAAACCAAATGATACCATCACAGAAATCAGCGCTGATGAAAAACACACTGTCACGTATATATGTGGAAGCATTCTAAAGAAGCTTACCACAAAATTTTTTGATCTAAAGCGAAAAACAAAGGCCGAAATTCATCCATTTTTGCAAAAGCAAATTGATATAATTGCTGAATGCAAAGAAGTCGCTGGTGCTGTTTCGATCAACAGTAATAACAAATTGATTGAAACTCTTAGCAGGGGAGGCCTCGTGTATCCCAAGAAGCAATTTGTTGAAATATTTTTAGAAGTGGAGAGCATATTCCGTGGCCATGTTTCCAACATTTCAAGGTCTATCAACAAGGAAGAAGTTGTGACCAAATGTTTTGAAGGTACCTCAATCTCTGATCAATTTTTTTCAATGACAGAATCTATGGCAGCAACTGATGAGCACAAATGTGAACTATTAAAAAGCTGCATTGACTTGTACATTAAAATAAGATCGTTTGGACATGCAAAAAATACAATTGAGAGTTATTATTCAGCAACTCAAACTGAAAAAAAGCAGAAGGCCCTGAGGAGAGATATCAAGAAAAAATCAGATGCAACAACAAAATCTATGACAAAGAAAAGCAAGTCTTGAGAACCGTACAATCTCTTTATACAAAAAGAGAATATGAATTTCACTTCAAGAGCTTCTAAAATGCAACTTAAAGGGAATCTAAGCATATAAAATTGGCTAAAACCATTTATGGTCAAATTCTACCCTAATCAGATATCAGTATTTCCTGTTGAGAAAGAACAGTTACCCAGATATGGTGCTGCACATGTTATAGCCTATATTGTCTTTGCACAGCTATTTTTATCAAGGGTTTTATATTTGCTTAGATTCCCTTTCAACAAAATATCTAAAAGACCATCTATTAAATATGATAAAATGGGGAAAAAGTTGGTCTTTTAGTCAAAATGTATTACTGTACATTCAATACAAAATTGGCCGTTTCTCTTATTGAAAAGTGTACCAGAGAAGACCTATTTCTAAATGTCAACACCTGAAGAAGACCTATTTCTAAATGTCTTTGACAGATGGAAATTTGCCTTGTTTAAAATTTGGAAATTGGGTAGAAGAGTTACAGAGCCAATCTGCTAAATATCTTCTTCTGCATCTGACACAAAAGCAAATCACCAGTTATGATACAAAAGAGATGAAATAAAACTGAAATACAGTTAACTATTTTGAAACTAGCCATAAAGCCAAATAAAGTTGTCTTTTGATCAATTGGAAAACAGCCCTCCTTAAACCCCTTGGGTAGCAGACCTGAAAGCCTACAGTGAATCTACAATATTTATCATTGCTATTTAATCAGTCAGTTCTGTCAATTTCTACTAAGGCCTGGGTAGTTTGCAAATTGTAAAACTGATTCTTCTGCGGTCTAAAAGGGTCTTTACAGTAACAGTAGTTCTTCCTTAGCTTAGCAAATATACTTTCATTCATAAGAATGGTGTACTTGAATATTGGAATATAGAATGTTATGTTGTTTGGCAAAAAGTTTTAAAAAAGTGTTAATTTTCCTAAGAATTCTTAATTTACACAAGAATTGTACTGAGTCTTAGCCAATATGTAATACAATAAAAAGCTTGATGCTACTACACCAAGTTAATTAAACTTCAGATTTTTTAGTTTTTCGCTTCTTTAAAGGGCTAGTGGTAATTGTGATCTTTTCAGCAGGTCGTTTTGATCCTTTTGTATTCCCTTTAGGTGTGATTGAGGTAGCAATGCTGTATTGCACTCTGAGTTTGTTCTCTTGAAATCCAAGGGCATACAAAGATGGATTGTTTGATCTGCGAGCCAAGCCCCTATGACGTCCAAAATGATCTTCAAGTGGATCCTGGGATATTTTGTTTGTCAAGACATACTTGAAACCATGTTCTAATGGAAACTTGACACAATCTATCGTGGCTAGTGATGTTGTTTTGAGTCCTTCAAAGGTGGCATTACTCAAAAACATTTTTGCTCGGTCTTCTTTGGAGAAATTTCCAGGTCTTTTATCAACAGCACCTTTCCAATCATCCAAATACTTCAGGAAAACTTCTTTAAGGAAAACAAATCTTTCATCATTGACTGAAACATAAGGGGCAAGGAAGGGCTTTCTCTTATGCTCTGCTTCTTTTAGTGACCTGGAGTTGCAGCAATCAAAAAATCTGTCAATCATGAGTATAAACTTGACTGTCTCAGATGCAGAATCTGGACCATAATTGCTCATCACCTTAGCAACTGTCTCACTCATCACCTGTGCAGCAAGATTCACCCTCATTTTTGAGTAAGAGTTCAAGTTTATGTGCTCATTTGATAACTTTGGCAATTTTCTAACAAGTGATATTCTATCAGCTTCGTAAATATCAACAATATGTTTCCATATAATATCCTTCTGGTTCCACAACAGTCTACTTTTCTGAAAACCAGATGAAGCAAGATTGTTCCGTGCTGTTTTAAGTAGGTGTGGTGGATCAGAAAAGAAATATATTTCACGATTCTCATCTGTTGCAAACACATTCTTTGTATGATAAACATAACCAGATGTTGAATGCATCCTATAGAGCCTTTGATTAGCACTTGCCTTGTCAGAAACAACACAAATAACTTTCAATCCAGCATAGGTTTCACAAAATCCAATGGACTTCCACAATAAAGGGTATAGCATGTATGCAGTAAGAGAGCGGGTACCAAAATAGCCAATGCTGAATTTAAGTCTAGACGCAAGACCTACTACCATGAAAACCAGAGCATGTGATGCAATAGATGAAGTGAAATCAGTATTACTTGCACCTGGACCTAAAAGATCATTCAGATCTTTTCCCAGATTCACAAATCCAATCAATTCACCAGTGTGCTTATCAAAGATAAGATCATCCTTGATTGGTACCTCATCAAATGCCAGAACCCAGATTTTCCAATTCCTTTGAGCTTAGATGCTTGGTGCTTCAAATCTTCAAAAGTTTCTTTCTTGAAACCTGGACTAGGATGGAAGACATTGGAGTAATCACGTAAAGTCATTTCAGATGGAAGCTTGATGACACCACTTTCCTTAAGAGCTTTGTAGGCAGAGGGGGACCGCAAATGGATGTGCAGTGCAAAGCGGATCATCATTGGGTGCCATCTTGTACCCGTTGGATCACTCTGGAAAGCTTTTTGTTGCTGTTCCCAGAACAATTTTTCAAAAGAATCTTCTGGTAATTCCTGCTTGATATTTTGAATCAAATTCTGGCAGTCATTGTGCAAATCAGCATCAAGTTGGATTCCATGTGTCTTTATTTGCTGATTTAGTTCCTTGATCTTGATCTCAAGTTTCTTTTGATTAAGACGCATGTTTATGATGGTTTGGGAAAGCCTATCTGATGTGACTTTCTTCAAAGGGGTCTTGGCTGATATAGGCTTATCCTGATTATGATCAGCTAGAAGAAGCTTCCTCTTCAGCTGTTTGGTGACATTCTTGCATACCTCACAAACATCACCATCTGAAATCAAAGCAACACAGGTATTTGACCGGAGAACTGTTGAAATTTTGCCATCATCTTTGCTTTTATGTGAGCTGTAATTACATGTGTGCCTCCTATCAAGTATATTTTGCTCTCCATATTCTTTTAGCTTTAGATCATTTATGCCATTACATTTATTCAATGCAGAAAGAGACTCGAGGAGCCACTGAATTGGGATTTTAGCGATGCTTCGCTTATGCTCTTTATAGATAGGATGATTGACTGGGAGCTCAAGAAACAAGTACTCAACAGTAAATTCCAAGGCTTCGTCAATAGCCACTTTGATTATTACATCTCCATCTTTGCTAATGTAGCCCAAGATGACTTTCTCTTCTTCGCACAGCAAGACTTTCCAGGGGTCTTTTATTTTGGATAAGCTTTTTTGCAGCTCACACAAAAATCTATATCGGTAAAGTTCAGGAACTTCTGTCAAGTTGTTTCTTGTCAATTGTCGCCTAGGGTTTGGTTTCACTGTTGGAACACTTTTCTCTGGTAGAAATTCTGTTGGCAAACTCCCAACTTTTAGATTTCTTCTTCCTTTCTTTCCTAGGAATGTAAATAAATATATTTTGGATTTTTTTTGAAAAAAGAAGCTTGAAAAATTTGATCTTTATTTTAAAATTCTTTACCTAGAGGATTACAATTCAGTTTAAATAACTGTTTTACAATGTACCCTGCAACTAAAAATAAAACTTGTCTAATTACAATATTACTAACCTAATTACAACAATATATCTTGAAAGAAAGTATTGTTTTTGTGGTGACCAAAGAATCGTGGCCTAAACTTTTCTGAACCTGGCTTGTGTGTGTGTAAAACCTGATAAGAGAAAACAACAACAGAGAAAAAATCTGTCTAATAATTAGCAGTATCTAGTATTGACGAAAACTTTATCAAGTTACCTGTTCTTATGCACTCTTCAGTAAAATGACGGGAACATATGAAAGCTCTCTCTGCATTGAAGGTTTTATCTGCTCTGCTGATGATGTGCAACAGTTTTGCCCTCCAGTCCTTAATCGAATCGCTCTTCGCACTGCTCTTGCTCGTCGGTACGCGAAAAAAACTTAAATTCGGATACTTTCTGTTATCCGCTAATGTCAGGCAACCAACAATACTACAGTTTGCCCCTGGCATCTCCCGAAAGAATGTGGAAAATTACCCCATTACAACAGCGTGGCTTGTTCAAAATACATACTGGAATCGCAACCGGAAGTCAAGTTTGACTTCTCTCGAGAAATTTCGAAGTGAGGCAACATCGCCCTCTGATCTTTACCGGCTTTCCTATCCAGTCTCTATTCCATTATCTATGATGCCAAGGCACTAAAAAAGAAGAAAGACTAGACCAGTACAACAGTTTCTCCTCCGCAGTTCCGCATATGATGATTTGATTGTTGCTCAAGGTTGGCCTAAGATTGTTGCACCACAGCTTTGCAAAAAGTTATTGCCTCACAATATGCAACGTCGTTCAAAAATGATTAATACCGGAAAGGTAAAAACTAACTTACGCATATGCAGTGTAACGTAACAGTTTGGGAGTTTACTATCGATTGAAGAGATATGCAAAAAGAGGATGAATTACGCATGGGCCTATCAACTGTTGAAGAATATTTAAATTTAACGCATCATTCAAACCCACTGGTAAGAAAACGGGCTCTGAAAGAGCTGTGTCCTTGTCATGTACGAGCAGACTTTGATCAGATTTGGGAAAGGATTCTAGAATGCACTGATGACGCTGATCCCTTGGTAAGAGATCAAGCTTTGCATGCACTTGGAGATGGATCCCCAAGACACCTTGAAGAAAGAATTGTAGAGATCGTGCAGCAGAAGTACAACGACAAAGATCCTAGAGTGAAGAAAAAAGCCAGAAAGATGCTCAATTCTTACAGAAGGACTGGAAAATGGAATGTTCTTTAATCTTTATTCATTTATTTATCTACTTTGTGCTGGGTTCTCGTTTATGAAGGAAATGCAGTTACTCTTATCTAAGATTTGTAATCATATACAGATGAAGGCAACCATTAAGTAAGATTTTGTAGTTTCTAAGTAATTAGCACTTACAATAAGCAATCCTTAAAGGCATTTGAGGGGTTTTTAATTTAATTTGTTCTCTTCTTTAAAAATGAAAATAGAAATTGAATGTTGAGAGTGTTCTGCTGACACTAGAACTCTAATATTTATTTTAAAACCAAACAAAAACAAAACATGCCTGATATGGGTACAATATTGTTGTATCTTTGAGGAATTGTACAAGTAGTCCAGTGATCCGTTTTGCGTTTTAGTTGAGACCACAGTAAAAAATTGCTTATTTTTGCATGTTTTGGAAGTGTAAAATATGTTAGATTTGTTCACCCTTAAACTTTTTCCTGGACTGATCTTGATTTATTCTATGCTGTGTTGATGTGGCACCACCTCATCCAAGCATTGATAATTTTGATGCTCATATGGATGTTCTCAGAAGCTTTCTTGTGCCCCTTATTGGAAAGGATTGAAAACAAGAGAAAAGATAGGTTGTAGAGTTTCATTTCAAGCTTAAAAACATTAACAAAAAACAACTTTTAGAGACTCCAAGGAATTAATTTGCAGAAACATTATAGCAAATAACAGACAACATTCTCTAACTTTTCTGCAGAGTCTGGCATCTGGTGGACACAATAATTTCTCAAGAATTAAAAGTCATCCTTATTTTGGGGTATTTTTTTGATAAAATTTAAACAACTAACAATAATCTTTACTTCCATTGAGAAGTACACCTGAGGAGCAGCACTGGCCAAGTGCACTGTTGTGAACTCATCAAAAAAGCTCTGCTTACTGTTGTCATTGTTAATGACATTGGCAGGGAACCCCATTGTACTTATACTCAGGGAAGGAACATTCAGGGATGAGTGACATTCATTTTAGAAAACAGAGTTGGAAACTGATCCAAATTTGGTTCAATGGAGCTCCCCGGTCTTTGTTAGCTTGATCAAGGGTATCAAAAACTTGATTCGTCCAGTCTGGGTAAGCCAGCCTCTGCAGTTTACTTCGGTTGGTCACACCCAGATTTCAAAACATTTTTAAATATTTACAATACTTTCTTTTAAGACTAAAAAACCAATTTCTGTTTTGATGCTGCTGTTAGCATAAATGGTGACATCACGCTGAAAATTATTAAACAATGCATTTAATTGTACCCTCTCACACTATAAAATAATTTATCTTGCTACCGGCTATCCATTGCTTGGATGTTATCAGAGACAAAGTTTTCATCTTTGTTTGCCTTCATACTAAGCGCCGTTAAAAACGAGTCATTATTCAACTGGAATTCAGTCAATTTATCAACCGTCGTCTGACTCCTTCTATAGGCCATCTTGATCTCTTCCTCGGTAGCTGTTAGCTTATTTCGTTTTTCGTCGACTTTCTCTTGTAAAGATCGCTCTTCTTGCTTAATCTTTTGCAGTTCCACCTCGAGCTCATGTAGTTTCCTTTTTTTAAGGGCCATAAAATATGCCCGAGAGTCTGCCTCAGGATCTCCAGTTGGCCTCCATGCAACCTTGTCGCTATCTGCTTTATTCGATTCTTCGAGAACTTCGTCCATCAGACACAACAAATTTGGTATATCCTCGTCGATAAACGCCCTTTCAAGTTTCTTCTTAAGTTCGTCTTTTGCTTCGCCTAAAACTCTTTCAACTAAATTTTGAAGGGCCTCCTTGTTGTTTTTCCACACCGGGTTGTAGTGTCGAGCGAAAACCTTCATATCGACTTTCAAACACTTTTCAATACAATGATCGACGGCTGTGCGAAACTTTGACCAGTGCAAACTTTGATGGTTGCCTCGGTCGTCACTGCAATCAGTATCCATAACTTCTAAATCAATTTCCATTACAGTTGTTGCAATATACGACATGCACCGTCTACACTAGTCGCCAAATGCAGAAAGTTTGATTTCCCGCCAAAATTATGATAGAAAATACGGGGGAGAGGTTTCAAAGTATGCATTTCCTTCGCAGAAGATGCTCCGCAGAGATCATTAGAAGCCTCTTTGCATTTTCAGTTAAATAATAAACCCATCACATCAAATTAAACAGAAAACTTTGAAATAAGAATTTAAAGCCACAATCAGACACTTCTCTGCGTTACGAGAAATTTAAAGTCATAAACATCTGATTAAATATCATGAATTATCAACATTAAGTCAAAAATGTCAAATTCTCAGTAATTCGGAGAAATATCTTCATGAAGTTTATAGAATCATATTATTCAGCACTGTAAATTGTTTTAATGGGCAACAGCAAAATGTTTATTTTGACTGATGTGATGACTGATGCAACGGCAAAGGATTTTCGGCTGACTGCATACGTTAAGACAATGACGTCATGTTGAGCATCCCGAGACGTCTTACCCCCGTCGCAGAATTAAGTTTTGCCGCCAAAATCCATATGCTGGAAGTATCCAAGATGGCACCTCCAGAGGAGCAATCCAGCACGGGTATTTGACTGATCTTTGTTCTGCCTGGATATTTTTAATTAAAATTACTTAAACAGCGAGTAAAATTAATTATTTGCACAATCTGATGAGCAATACCAATCTGATCGCATTTTTTGTCAACAATAGTCCTTGAATGTTGTCGTTTTAGTCTTAGCCTAAGTATAGGCATTATTGTGCTTTTGTCCAATCACGCTTTTAGCGTGCGTTTCCTCGTTAAAAGAGAGCTTAGACCTTTAAAGAATTTGAATTTTATTTTTTGCGAAGGATTGTGCTTTAGTCGAAGCAAATTTTTAGGGACAGTACAGTTAACAAGGTCTTTCTCTTATGAAATGCTTTTGTATAAAAAATTAACACCAAAACTGTAACCTGTGAAAACTGCCGTGAAGTAACAAGGTATATCGACAGTTTTTTGAACGAAAGTCAGGAAATTTAAATTTATCTCATTGCATTTTTTCTGGGGCATCCTTTGATCATATAAAAGGATACTACCTCACAAGCAGATCATGGGACTTGGGCATGGCGATGCTGCTAGAATTTTTTCAGGTTAATTTTTTTGCCAGCCCTCCAAGTTTTCTTTGGATGTTTAGCTGGTTTTATTTTTTTCTTGAGGAGGGAGGGGGGTGTCCAGTATTTTAAAAACAACATTTAAGCAATGCTGCCTTGTCCATGTATGTTCAGAATGCAACTTTTGAAGAGCTTATCTTGGGAAATGACTTCCCACAAGTTGCCCAAAATACTGTAATATTTCATTTAATATTAAACCATTGCTCTGCTTGAATGTTTTCCATCATTCGATGTACATTTCAATCTGATGGCTCTGTATCTGATTATAAACATTTCACAAGGATATACAAGTCATCTGTACAAATCCTTGAAAATTACAATTTTGTTGGCATAGCAAAAATTATTTTAAATTTTAGGAAGAAGATCAAGAAGAAATAAAAAAGAGTCTTCCGGATTTAGAAAGGCACTAGATCAAATCAAGTAAAAACTTTTTCTTCTGAATATTACGTTAAATCAAAAAATTTGTTCTTTATGTAATGGAACTTTTTTATTAGATTTTCTTTTTTTGATATGTAAACTGCCAACAACATAGATATGAAGTTTTTTATTTTGTTTGCACACAGTCATGATGAACAAGAGCATAGAGAAGCATAGCATTTGTCATGGATTGGTTGGCTTTTATAGTATTTTAAATGAACTCTGCCAGAAAGTGATGCTCTAATTATTATTTGTTATAGTTTTTAATTTAGAGTAAATAGAGGTATTATATATTTAGGCAGGAGGATGTATTGTATTGTATTGCTTGCTACCTAGCTTCCAAAGGTAGTTTAAGGACACTGGAAAGCTACACTTATGGATCAGTGTCCTGATCCTTCCTCTTGATGTGACCACACCTCATGATTCCTACACCTGGAATTACAGAGCAGTGGCAGACAGCGGTCACCCTCAATATTTCAGAGCAAAACAATAGGCTTACCCCCCAAATATTTATTCAAGTGTCTGCCCATGTTACAGAGAGCTGAAGACTCTTCTAACAGAGAACTGATGATTCTCCTATCTGTACTCAGCGACCCTAGCCACTGAACCATCCTTGGAACTTTTTACTTAAGGATCTAAATGCCTTTTTGAATGCTTTCAAGAATGTGTATTACATCATTTCTTAATATGTAATACAAATTTTTGTACACAATGTCTACTATCTTCTCTGCCAATTTGCAAATCAAATAATCAAATATTTGAATCTACTTTTTTTATTCCTATCAATTTCAGAAAATATAATGAGACTGGTGAGAGGAGTTCTTATGAGGTGACTTGTTTATCCATTTGAAATTCAGTCTTAAAAGTTGTCATAATAAATGATATTCACTTGTATGGACATATTTCATGACTTTTAGTTCCCTGTGGCCTGTGGGCCAGCAGTTGTTGTTGTCAGCGGTCGTCTGTATCAGTGGCCGCCATGCTTGTCATTTAGCTTAGATTTATTGTTGATTAAAGCCTAACTTTAGGTCAATAGAGTAGTTAATCTCACTACAAAAGTCATTTATTTTACATTGAAGCAAAATTAATATTGTTCTCGAAATCAAATTTGTAAAAAAAACATTGTTTCATTTTGAAAAACTGTCTAGATGACTTTGTTAAAAGTTACTCTTGCCATTTAGATTACTTTAAACCTGATTTCCAATTTGATATAAATACTTACACCTTGTGTTTAAGTGGTACATTGCCCATAATATTAATTTCAGGTAGGTGAAAAAGATAGCTTGTATGAAGAGGTGGATGAAAAAGAATATGCCAATATTGTGAGACAGAGGCAAGAAGAAAACTGGATCGTTGATGATGGTATTGACTCTCAAAATTTGCCTTAAGTCCTTAGAATATTTGATTAGTATCACAAGTTAAGAAAATACACATGTTAATATCATAGAGTTCTATTCAAGTTCCACTCCTTCTAATTCATACAATCTGATAATTAAAGAAGTGTCAAATGGGACTTTTTTATTGATTAAATCACCGGTCAATTTTTGCAAGAAACACTGTGTTACTGAATAAAATGTATGCAACATTTGTTATGTGAAAGTTAAAAGTTATTTACCTGTTAATAGAGTTTGTAAAATGTATGTTTCATTGATTTGATGCATACAAAGCAACTAATAGATTGAGATTATTTTTTCAGATGGCTCTGGTTATTATGATGATGGAAGAGAAGTATTTGATGAGGACCCAAATGAAGAGCCTGAAGGTAATGAACTTTTTAATGACAGTCATATCATATTTATTGTTAATTATTCACACAAATTATCATTAATTTTCAGGAAGGGTTTCATTGAATAAGAGATTTGTACAGTTGGACTGTCATCAATTTGAATTATAATCAAAGCTCTACACAATCATCTTTCTTGTGTTGTAGAAGAATCAAAGAAAAAGAAAGGAGACAGAAAGGTAGGTAGTTAGATTCTACTTATGCTTTAGTGGTCTTAATTTGAGCAATGATGTCTTGTTAATTGAAGACGTTATTTATGTCATGGTTTAATTTTCTTTCAGGAGATCTACTATAAAAATTCAGCAATTATCTTGTAAGATGGGCAAATATTTTTTGGAACATCTAATCGCAAGGTTATATGTTGATGATAGGAAATGTTCTTTTTTCCTTTAGGAGAATGCTAAGTCGAAGGTTAACTCAAACAAGATCACAGCCTTGTTTCGGGCAAAAAGCAAAGTGAAGAAAGAGGTAACATTCTTAGTTGATACAGGAGCTTCAAAAAGTCATTTTAAGATTGTTTTTTTAATTCAAAGAGAAAAATATTTTAAGCCATCTGCCTCAAATTGGTGGAAAACAAGTTTTGGTAAAAATGGAAAGGACGAGTCCATCATTTTTAGTTCAAATCATTTCCAAAGAGGAATAATGATTAACAGCCAGAAAGCATTGATTTTTCAAGGAAATTTTGAGCATTTCTGGTAGCATGTTGAGGCTACTATATCTTGATGAATAATTTATTTTCTTTTGAACAGGAAGATGTCTCAGTGAACAATGATAATGTGCTAGATGATATTCTACAGAACATTACAGTATGAAAAAATTTATTTATTCTGTTATGCCACTTCTTTATTTTTTGTGTGTTCAAAATCCTTTTCTTCTTTTGGATAGGCTAAATCAAGACCTTTTTATAGATTTTAATGGGTAGGGGGTCTTAACTAAATAATTAATTTTCATAAAGTGATCAGAACAACAATCTAGATGTTCAGCTTGTTTGACAAATACTTTCTTTTTATGTCCTCATAACTGTTCAGATTTAATCAATGTTAACTTTTCTATCGCTATAGACATCAAAACCCCATGACAAGTCACTAGAAAGCAAGAAACCTTTCCAGAAGTAAGTTCCCCTATCGGGTTATCTTTGGATATGGACAATATGTTAAGCTGGGATTGCTGTGGCATTAAACATTCATTGCATCTTTTTATTTTAGTTAATACATTTTCTGAAGGGTACTTCCCATGAATGACAAGAACTGGTATTAGGACCCAAGACTCCTTGCACATCACTCTACCAATCAATGAGTCAATCCCTCAGTCAAACCTAAAGTCTGTACAGAAAGAAATAATCTTTAATCTTGATATTTATCAGAGGGTTTCTACCCAGGGTGACAAACAGCCTACAGGATGAGCTGGACGGGACGATCACCCATCTTACAATATTGTTAAAGAGAGTGTCTGAATGGGATATTGGGGTATCAACTACTTGCTACTGCATTGCCTTTGATTTTCTTAATGCATGATAACCAGCAATTTTTAAAATACTGATTCATTAGGAAAGTGGAATTTGTGGGGTTGGTCAATAACCCATGCCAATAATTTTGTGACACGTTGGCAAGGGAAGTTTTCCACATGAGACAAAGAGGCCTGGTTTCTCTTATTTCCTCCCATTTATCATTTGCCATGTATTGTTGTCAATATTTTTTAATGCTTTCTTGAATACCAAAATCTGATGATAATTCGAAGAGATAGGTGAAGCAAGGCATTTGTAAAAATATTTCCTAATAAGCATCCCTCTACCTGGAAGAAATATCAAGGTTATAATGCCTGTTATTTTTTAAATTGGTGCTTTATAGAATTTTATATTTTGGTTATTATTTCTCACCAGAACCCCAAAACGTACAGTGTTTGAGAAGAGACCAGTGCCAAGAAGGCTGCAGGTAACAAGCATTGTATGTATTTATATGTGAGAAAGGATCATGTTTAGAGCCAAAGCAGAAAAAATAACTACATTTGCAATGGTGAAGATTTCCAAGGGTGGCTTCAAAAGTCATATCAAGTCACATGGCTCAGTAGATAATCATTGCCTTTTATGCTGCAAACTGAAGCTTGATTCTGACCAAGTGCATTATTTACAGTCAGGCAACACCCATGTGGCTCAATTATTTCCTCTTGCTTGCCTTGGCCAAGTGAATAAATATTCTGAAAGGTTAATGAACATAACATCTTATGTTTGTTTTTAATTTTGAATTTGAATGAATTTGAATTCAAGGAGGAAGGGGCAAGCAACAGTCAAACAAGACCAGTAACAAGATTTAGAGTTCCCAAAGAAGCAATGCCAAAGAAGCATTTGTCTCCATTGAAGAAAATAAAGCAAGAAATTGTTGATGATGAAAATGGAGAAGCAGATATTGATTTGATGCCTACAGAAGAAGACCAGGGTAATTGCACTTAGGAAATCTTTGTGAACTGTTCTGTAGGGGTAACCAGATATATAAGTATCTGGATTTACAAGGGTTAATGGTAAATTGGTCTAGATATCAACTACACAGAGAGAAAAAGAAATTTTTTTCTTGAGCTTAACTGTGCAGTTTTTCTTAAAAAATGCTGGTTATGCCACTGCTAGAGTTACAAATGTTTGTGGAATAACTGAAATAATTAAAAAAATGAATGTTTTTGGAAGTTACAGATGAAAATGTGAACATATTGAGCTCTAGTCCAAGTTTAAATAAAGATAGAGAATAAGCTCAACTTGCTACTGCCTTTTCTGATTGCTTAGTATGTATCTTGCATTATACGTTAGTGTGCAGAAGGATCTTCAATAAACTATAAATCTGGTGATTTGTGTAAAGTTAATGGATTCTTGCTCTATTTTCTTTAGAAATGGAGTCTTTGGATAACCAAGCTGTTAAAAAAGAAATCAAGCAAGAACTGGAAGAAGATTTTGATTTGGCAAACGATTTGGACATTCAAGATGACATTGACATCGATCAGGTAAAGATAAATCCACTTGTAACTATAACAAAGCTCAATCCCATTGTTACTGTTTTGCAAGCAGGGATGACTTTTAACAACTTACACAAGCTCTAAACACCGACAGCATTTAATTATCTTTTAAAAATTGATTAGGAAAAGTTTGCATTTAGTAATTGTCCTTTTTTGTATAGTTAGCATTGATATTTGCATTGATATAAATTTCTTTGAAATCTATGTTTAGTGTTAAACTTCAATTGTAGTCTTATTTCCGGTGACCATGTACTGCACATGAATATTGAGCTTTTTCAGAAGTATTTCTGCGAAGTTTAGTGTTAGTCTTTCTATCATAAGCCATGTAACAGATAGTTTAACTGATCCTCGATATTCCGCATGTTGATTGATATTCGCTGGTGCTCTGATCTCTGAAGACATGGTTGAAGCCTTCATAAGTTTAAAGGAGAGTCACCAGGCACTTGCTCTGTGAAAAGCCGTTATCAAGGCGCATTGTGCTTTCTCAGGTTTGGTTTATTACAATTGTCTTTATCAATTGATGTTACAGATTGCAGAGCCCAAAAAGACTGAGGCTGCTCGACGGGAAGAGATAGAAGATGAAAGGTCAGCACTGTATATATTAATTGTTTCTTTACTTAACCACTTCAAGCTACTAGAAAGAAGTGGTTTTGGTTTGATGTCAATTTCGCAAGTCAATTCAGTCATAAGATGTCGCAATTGCTTGCTTTTTCTTAGTATTAAGAAATTAAGGTTTTTATGTATCTTTGTATAAATTTTCATCACATATATAGCAATGATTTTCACAATATATCATCTGGTCATTTACCAGATGCTTCCAAGCCACTGCACGCATAATCTGCTGTTGAATTGAAATCTGCGTATGCTTGGAAGTGAATTTCTATTTATTAAATCCTTTATTTTTAATATCATTCAGTATTACTCTCTAAGCAGTTAACTAAACAAAGCAATGGATCTTTTAAATAATAATTATCTTTTAAAGAATTGATCTATTGAATATAAGTTAATCTATTGAATATAAACTATTTTTTCTCAGCGATATCTCAGGCATTCGAATGACCTGGGAGCAGGTGATGGAAGAGAACAAAATGGAAAAAGGAGATGAGGTATGCACCATAACCATTTCAGCTATCTTGTATTGTTATAGTTACATGAGCATTAGCGTCAGAATACCCAGCTTTGCTGTCTCTTTATTCAAATCACAATCTTTAAACTTTTTTCACGTGATGTAGCCAATGAACATTTTAAAGAGCCGGTGAAATTAGTTAGCATTTTTCAGGCTAAGTTTTTATAAGAGCATGAAGTTCCAGCGAAACATGCAAAAAGACACTAGGCGCTAACTAGATTTAATGTTATCTAAAGATTATTGAGTGATTTTTGGACAATATCTATTTTCTTTCTTAAAGGCATTCACGAACATAACTGTCGACTCTTCTCAACTTCCTTTAACGGATGTGGACGGTAAGTACATGTTTCAAGAGATGTTTTTTCGTAAAAAATTGTTTTTCAATGTATTCGTTTTTCGAAGAAATCCCCTATAATAAACCAACTGCATTAAACTTTGCTGAATACAGCTGATGTGTTACCGTAGTAAACTATTATTATCGTAACGTTTTCATGTATGTATTGAAGCCCTTTGCTATGAGCTTAATACTAATGTTGATGAAGTTCACATAAACATAGCTTGGACGGCAGTTTGATGTAGATACCTATTCTTTTCAAGATATTTTGTTTTCAAATGAAAATAGCATTATGAAAAACAAGGCTTCAATGATTATGCGCTATTTTTCAGATAGTATCATTTTTGTTTGCCTTAACCTTTTGCAAGGAACATTTTTTTGTGTATATAAAGAGGAGGAAAGTAATCTTTTGTTTGAAATAATGTAAAGTCGTCATTGCTGAAGTAGCCGTCGCCTCCCTAGTTTGTATTCTAAGAAGGGACCCTGTTATATTCTTCCTCTATCTAAAAAATGTTTAAAGATGATCAGCCATGCCAAACCTCCATGCTTTGTGTTAATTATGATTGTTATATTCGCAGGAGAAAAAGTTCTCAAGTTTTTCATGCTGGATGCATACGAAGACAGTTATCATCAACCAGGTGACTTAATTTTCGGCAATACCGAAGTTTACTGTATTAGTTCAAATGTCTTTAAAATTTACTGTTTTCGTTTAAATGGCTTTAGACTCTCAGGGAGACCTTCTCACGCTTCTACCCTTTTGCAATGATAGCTTTAGTGCCACTTCAAAAAAGAATATTATTTCGACCACAATCAGTTACATCAATGTTACCAACAGATTCTTTGGATGCCCCCTTTTTTCTCTCATCCTATTTGTTATTTATGTTTTTTGTTGTTGTTGTTGGACGCAGTATGTTTTTGTTTGTTTTCTTGTTGGCTGCAGGAGCGATTTACTTGATCAAGACTCTTGTTGCATTGTCTTGTAAATTGACTTCTAAATCGTCTAGTACCATCTGTAATTGTATTGCTAATTAAACTGTTATTTTGTTTGGTATTTCCATTACCTCCTTTTTTGTAGTTTTGTAATTATTCATTGATATATTCAAAGGTTTTCGATGTAAGTATAAAACACCACTTATCTGGGAAACAAGTTTTATCTGACTGAGTTAAGAATCACAAAGCCAGTATAGAAAATGTTATCTTTTGTTGGACAAGTTGCTGTGAGACAATCTTTTTTTCTTTTATCGGAATTTAGAAAATAAATGAAAGTTTGAGATTATCTGTAGTTGTCCCGTCTAAAGCCATAGAGACCTTAATTTATACGGCTCCCTTAAAAAGAAAGTTTTGTTCCATTAATTGTTATAATAAGATCGTCTACTAGCAAAGGCACCGTGAAATTTTTTTATTTTTTTCGTAAGTATTTTCCTCTCGCAATAAAAGTTTGAAACAATTGCCAGCTTATAACTGTTTGGGACGGAATTAGTGAAATTTTTGGGACAATACAAGCGCAATCAGTGCTTTCGCACGCTCCTAATTGAAAATAAGAACTTAATTAGCATGGAACTAAACTAGAATGATTTAAAAAAGGATTACTTTTTTGAGGATTGTTTCAGCCCAAATTATTTATATTTTCTTTGATAAGCTGGTGTATTGAATTAGATTCTCGTAAAACTAACTTTATTCTTTGCCTCTATTCACTATTGCCTTTATCTTATCAGAAATGTCGAGGTTGCTACCAATCTTATCTTGCCCTGATGATTATATTTTCCTTATCTAACCAGGAACGGTCTATTTGTTTGGAAAAGTTTTTGTTGATTCTGCGGCATCCCATGTCAGGTTAGTTCATGCATCGCACGAAATTTTATTTATTTTTATTTTTACGCTTTGATCAAAGTGTTGCGAAAGCAAGACACGTGTATGTTTGGCCAGCATGGTTCAATAAATTTACAGGTTTCTCAGAACGTAAATATCACTTGGTATTTCCCAAAGCCAGAAAGAAAGGAAATTACAAGGCTGATTTATTTATATTTTATACAGTTTGTATGATTTTATAAAGTTTTTCATTTTTTCAGCTGCTGTGTTACTGTTAAGAATATTGAAAGAAGACTGTTTGTACTCCCAAGAAAATATGTGAGCTATGTTTTCTTATTTATCCCCAATATCTTTTTAACCAAATACTGAAGAAAATCTCTGTCTTGGCTATCTGTTCTGTCCAAGTATTATGTGCAAACCGACGTATAATCTGAATATTTTGAATCGGACATATTAAACAAAATCCGGCTGAATGCCACAATTCTACTCACCGCTTCAAATTTATTTCCTGCAGGGAGGGGTAGACATGTCACAGCTATAAGCAGTAATTAATACTTTGGCAAAAATTAAATCATTTTTGAAATGGCAAAAACAACAACGTAAATGTGTATTGTGCACAAAGACGTGATCAATTTTCTTTCGGTGCTTGTTCGAGTTTGTATGAAAATCGTCCCTGGTTCGTCGTGTTAATCCCTGGTTCGTCCCTGGTTTTTTGTTTGACTCCTCCTTTTATGTATCGGTATTTTATATGCGATTGTTTGTTATTGCAGAAACTGGACCAAAGTGGCAAAGAAACAAGTCAAGAGGTGACCATGAAAGATGTATACGAGGTTAGTACAACTATGAATCCCTTCATTATCAATATGACTGCTGTTGGATGGTATCGTTTAAGTTTTAGTACATTGCATTAGTATATTGAGTTACTGTATTGATGTTTTTTATTTTTCAGGAATTCAACAATATTGCTACAAAGATGAAAATAATGAATTTCAAATGCAAGGTCAGTAAGACGGCCACAGCCATTTTCATATTTGAACCCGTTTCTGTATTATTCCTCTCGCTACACAATCGGCTTTTTCATATGATTCAAACTCGCTTCATTTTCCAGGCAACGAAAATGAAATATGCTTTCGAGCTTCCAGATGTTCCATCGGAATCTGATTACCTAGAAGTTCTGTATCCAGTAAGTCCCATTAGAAATTTCTTTAATTATTCTTTTATATATACAGGCAAACGTTTTAATTTTTTTCAAAATAGAAGTAACTATTGATCTATAATTGTATGATATACAGCATTTACTATGAGCAGTGGCTACATATCTTATTGACTCGAAGAAGCATTTTTGCTTTTTATCTTTGAACAAATAATGATTGGGAGCTTTTGATGTTTAATGATTTGTTAGATTCTTGTGTTACAAATTGTCATACTTTTCAGGCAGATCAGCCGCAGATTCCTAAAGATAAATCTGGTAGCACTTTCAGCCACATCTTTGGAACTAACACCTCAAGGTTTGTTGCGTTTTTCTCATAGTTTTTTGATTGACCCGTCTTAACGTAATGAATCAAGGGACAAAAATAAATTCAATCCGGTTAGTGTTAAGTAATGCCTTTGGTATGACAATTTCAAAAGTGATAGCAAGTCTAGCAAAAATACTGTAAAGGAACCTTCAAAAACGTTCTTTGCTGCTCAAATTCATATGAATGTTTTCAGATGAAATATTTCTTTATTTGTGCCAGTTTTGCCTCAAATGTAGATGATTCTTAGATTGTCTGTTAGATTACAGAAATAGCATCGTAATTTTTCTGTAAAACTGTTTAAATAGCCGTTATGCATTTGTCTGTATTTTCCTTTGAACTTTTTCAGCTTAGAGCATTTAGTAATTGGAAGAAAACTGAAAGGACCCTCTTGGCTTGATATCAAATACCCACGTAAGATTTGACTTTTTGAGAAATTTTGAATCTCATAATTGCTTGATGAATCTGATTCCTTGGTTTTTGCCGCCAATATTTGATTCAAATTGAATTCTTTTGCTTGTTGTTTCACAAAATTTTTTGACATTGACCTCTTTGTCGAAAGTGTATTTACCTATGACATCGATCTCCTTTCAGACTTGAAGAAATTGATATTAACATTTCGATGATAGAGATAGCTAGGCTGTTGTTGTCTCATTTATTGTCTTTGAGTATCCAGACGTTGTTTCATCTTCCAGTAATAATTGCATGCTTTCTTTTTTTCTTAGAGGTTCCAAAGCAACCAGTTAGTTGGTGTAAAATTGAGGTAAATTTATGCGGACTGAATACTACCTCGATTTTATCAATTGTACTTTATACTAGTTAGTCATTAATACCGGTCTTAGGGAAAGTTTGATTCGATTTAGCAGAATGATTTATGTTCGTTAATTCTTGTTGCAATCCTAAAGTTTACTTTGGCAAAAATTGTGCTTTTATGTTTTGGGATTTCAATGGTTTTGTTGATTTTAATGGATAGGTTTTGTAGCAGCTATGCCCATTAAAGTATTTGTGTTAGCTGGTATCCATTTTTGAAAAAAAAGAGTTACAACTTTTGTAGAATATATTATTCTGCTATCTCCAACTTTTGTGGCTATTCAGTCACCAAAGTTGTGTTTGTATCCTTTTTCTACCATTCAAGCCATAATTTCTTGCTTATGTGATCAACTGCAAAGCTTTTGAAATAAATATTAGCAACACTTATGCTTGTTTTAAACTTTGTTAAATCTTACTAGACATTCTCCCCCTTTTGTAATTCGGCAGCCAATTCGTGTGTTTTAACCCAAATACCTTAAAACCTTCCTTAAATCCATGTAAAGGGAGACAGCCTGCATTCTAAGCTTCCCTTGACAACCCGCGTCATGATAACGATTTATCTATGTCATCTTTTCAAAGGCATTGGTCAGCAAGCCTGACTTCATTACCACTTCTGCTGAGCAATCTGCTGCTCCTAAACTGGTTTGTGACACTTTTCTTGTATTTCCTTCATAAAGATATAAGTAAAAGCAATGACCTCTTTTGTTATTCATTTTGTTACTGAACTGAACCTGTCTGATGTTTTCAACGAGCTTGAAGAAAAATCTCCGCAAAATCTCAGACCAAACTGTCTGTTTTGTGGAACAGCCTCTTTGTGACTTTAAGGCGATTGCATTTTGAATTTAGCATTGCAGGTCACTTTGTATTGAAATTCCCTTCTCAATGCCAGTTGCCTTTCCGTTGTTTTAACCCTCTTCTTCTGCTTGCACCTATATAGCTGATTTTTATGCCTATGATTGCCTTAATGATTCATAATTTTTTAACACTGTCCCATTTGTTGAAGTTTAAAATCTTAGTAGCGGTTGATAATCCGGTAACAATTTTCTTCTGTGTCTTTGAGTTAATAGATTGTAAGCAATAAAGTTTGGGATTTTAGTATTTTGATTTTGAAAGTTCCTGGATATTCTATTTCAGGGTAGCGGGCATTCTTTAGAATCACTGGAACACATTTTACGTACAAAGAGTTGCAAATAATTGTTGCAAAGCTTTTATGGACCTTAGAAGACAACATTAGTTTTTACGTTATATGCAGAACTGTCCAGTGCTATATTGCTTTTGTTGCCAACTTTTTTCTTTGCACTGAATTATATTCTAGTATTTCTTATTTATAGACTGTACTGAGCCTTGCAACGCGGACAGTGAGAAACTCGAAGTCCCATGTTCATGAGGTACCCCATGTAATTTTTGACCTCTTATGATGCCTGGAAAGTTATTGAATTCAATATTCCATAAAAGATTTTGATGTTATGTTGCTCAATTTTTATTGGCTGTACTTGTAAAGCCGCCTCTGAAGACTAGACCAGTACTGTCCTTTAGTTGCCTTACCAAAACGAACCTTTGTGAAGTTGCTACTTATTTTTTAGACAGAAATATGGTAAGAAAAAGTTGTAAACAAGGCATCGAATCTTGTCTTCATACCAAAAATTAAACAGCCTCCTTAAGTGTTTGTAGCGCCCTTTCTTTTGAAGCTTTTCCCCTTGAAAATTTTGAAGAACTAAGAAAGTTGATGAAATAATGTTGAATTGACTACTCGTCGAGGGAGCATACCATTTTCCTTTTTAATGTCACTTCCTCTTACTTGTGCTCATTTAATTTCGTCTTCTCACCAATGACAAATTTTCGAAATCCCTTTTAGATTTTGGCCCTATCCGGTGTTATCAACAACCATTTCTACTTGGACAAGGCTGCCCCTGGAAACAAGTTTGATCAATGCTTTTGTTGTATGTTTTCCTTTTTCTTTTTTTACTGAACACAGTGAAATTGCTGCTTTCATAGCTATCAGCTTTGTTCTTTATTCCGTGAAGAAAGACATCATTAAAAACCTATTCATTTTGGAATTACAGAGTTGGCTTGTTTGTTAGTTATTATTTTTAATTTTCTTTGTCTTCATTCATTTCTTACTAATATTTTGTATTGATATATTGTCTTAGCATTTGCAATTCAAAGTACTTTTTTGTATCATTGCAGTGTCTAACTTTTTGTCTTTTATTGTAGTGGTTACGAAGCCAACAGAATTCGTCCTTCCATACGACTTCCAAAGTGTAATCCAACGAGAGGTACGTAGTTTTACGTTCTATTGTCAGTTGTACGCTATGTTATAAGTTTAATATTATACCTTTCGTTTTTCTAGCACTTGAAATGCTGCTTTCAACACAGAGTGATGGTCCATTGCTGTAATTTGTCAAACAAGAATTTCTCTAATATTGATTGTTTTAGCGTTAATAGATTTTGTGAAATGCTATCGCTGCCTTGCACGATATGTAGAGTGCGTTTATCAATTGAAAGCCTCTGTGCATCAGTTCAACGTATCTTCCATTCAGCTTTGATTATATCAAGAATGACCCATGGCATATTTCGATTCTAAACATACCTTGCATATTTCGCTCATAGCAACGCAAGATACAAACCTGTACCTCTGAGCGGTCACTGCTTGCCCTCTTTTTGGCCAGAATTCAAGCAATTGATCCTGACATCATTGTGGTAAGATATGTCTCGCTATGGTCATCAAATATTGCAGCACTAGTTTTGTAAAGATTCCAACTTTTAGCAAATTTTTTTATAGTACGTTGTTTTAAAGCATAGTTTCAGTTTTTTCTTCTAGTCAGTCAATACCTATCTTTGAAAATTGTTTTTAGTCACTTTTTATACAAGCTATTTCTATGTGTCCAAAAATAGATTTGTCAATGCCTGGTCAAAATACTGAGCGTGTGTAAAGATTTTTATAAATTACCTATGATAGTTCTATAGCAGAATAATAATTATGTTTTAGAGTACGAAAATGACTTTGCTTTTTTAGGGAAATGATATAATTGGCTTTGATTTCGATGTTATCCTTCATCGAATTGCTGCCAACAAAGTGCCTCATTGGTCAAAGTTGGGGCGACTGAAAAGACAAAATCTGCCAAAGCTTTCGGTATGATCCTTTAAATTTCCATTTATAGAAATATCTTGCCTGATAGAATGTATTTTCTTTTAGCGAAGTCCGATAACCTAGGCTTCTCTTTCATCGACCTAACTTCATATCCATCCAACATTCGGATATGCGGCCACTTATTTTTAAGACCTTAGTGTAATTGTTATGTTGACTCTGTTATATAATAACTTCGATTGTTTCAAAACTCTGATACATTGGGTTATTATTGTCATAGTTTTAATTTTCATTATTTGTTGGTTGATACCTTCAGGGCCACCAAGGCCATAAAGGATTCCAAACTGGGGACAAAAACACTGCTTGTGGGAGGTTGATTTGTGATACCAAGATCAGTGCCAAAGAACTGATTCGATGCAAAAGTTATGACCTCACAGGTGGGTAAAAACAAACCTAGTGTTTCATTTGATAAAGTCTGGTGTGTCATTTGCTTCTATATTATTTTTCTCATTTTGATTTTGGTTTTCCTGTATTTAACCACTTGAATATGTGTTGAACTTTCTCACCGTGTAGTAACAAAACAGCTAACATAAATTTCACAGACTGATGAAAACGTGGTATTTATAGCGTCAGATCAGTTTATAGTGGATCAATTCGTTTGCTTGATTCGATAGTGCAGCCCAGTTCAAAAGACGGATACTGTTAAGTGGAAATCTCCTTGATTTTATTGATCTGGTTTGTTTTGTGCCATCTAATTTTTTTCTATTCATTTTGCAGAGCTTTCCTACGTTGTTCTGAATAAGACAATACGAATGAAAGTTGACGTTGACGAGGTTCCAAGCCACATGAGGTTATTGACATATATTATTAACGTATAACGAATGATTTTTTGTCAAATTCATTTTTTGAAAATCCTTGATAAAGAGACAGTTTGTATAGTGACACAGAGGTAACCTTTCAACTGCGAAGCTATGGTTATCGAGCAGTGTCCTGGTCATTTCTCTCGATGTGAAAACACCTGGTGACTTCCTAACAGGGAGCTGATGCCTCTCCTCACTCTAAGTGAAAGTTTGGCCATGCCAGGCACTTGAACCGAAGACCTTTGGAACAATATGCCCTTACTCAAACCACTTGAATTCTAACACAGTGTCATTCGGAAAAAGCAAATATCAAATAGCGAAAATTGAGAATGATTACTGAACGACCAAAGGAATGAAGCTTGTTCATTCTACTTGTAATGTTACATGTTCTAGCATTTCAGTTCATTGCTTGATTATATCTTCTATAAAAATGATAGTTATTTACTTTTTCTAGATTAAGATTCTTTTTAGATTCTATAAAGATATTTATTATCATTCAATCGTTTTCTTTTTCAGAAATTCTAGAGACCTGCTAAAGATTCTCGACTTAACAACGGTAAGGAAAATTAACGAATCTGAGTTAAAAACCTTGGTGGTTTTTTTCAGAATTACAGCTAATTCCTTCGACTGCAAATGCATGAAGATGTATAGTGCAACACAGGCTTCTTTTAATTATCGTTATTAGTGATTTTTGCTGTTAATAATCATCATATTATTACAACTTTGTGTAATAGTTTTGTTTTTGTTTTTGTTTTGAGTACTTCTTGCCTGGACCATTTTCTAAATTAAGAAAAGAAAAACTTACGAAATAGCTTATTTGTTTCGAAAGCTTATTATTTGTCTTATGTTAAAGAAAATGTTTGCAGAGCACTTTGAAAATCAATTAATGTGATAAACTTAGAAGAAGGAAAGAACTAACATTTTTTATTGTTTTGCCATCTGATAGAAAATTCAAGAAATCTAAGCAAACCAAAAAAGATTTTAAGAAATAATTTAAAGCCACTGAGATTTTGTAAATATATTTCCCTTACGTCTATTGTCCTTAAACAATTTATTCATTGTGCCAAACTTTGTCTAAATTTTATTGTTGGCTTTGAGCACCGAAAATTTCTTTTTTATAGATGGACTCCTTGTACAACCTCCGCATTGTTTTTGAGTTGAATGTACGTATCAAAGCCATTTTTCTGTATTCACAAGAAAATGCTTGCAAAAATTCTAAATATGCACGTTTCGGTATTTATTTAGCTATGCTATCATTATCAGATTTATAACCAAATCAGCTGGTTAAGTCAATTCTTGAAATTTCTTCTTCAATTAGCGCGTGGGGGTATAGCTCAGTGGTAGAGCATTCGACTGCAGATCGAGAGGTCCCTGGTTCAATCCCGGGTGCCCCCTCCAATTTACTTTTACTTGTTTTCTTATATTTAGCAACATTTGCCACTTTTTTCAATTTGTTAATTCGAATTGCCATAAAGTTTCATGGTTGAATTTTAATAACTGAAATTTTTCATAATGGATAAACTTTCATTTTCGTTGAATTATTACATAGAAAATCAACTCAAACTAAATCAAAACCATTTTTCAGGCACTCCCACTAGCTTACCAAATCACTGGCGTCTGTGGCAATATTATGGTAAGATTTTCTTTGAAAAGTTCCATTCTTTTATGATTTCATTGAAGGTTGCAAATTATAACTTTTTTTATTATGATTATTATATATTAAATATTATTTTAATTACTATTATTGATAAGGTTTAGGATTATTAACAAAACTTAGACAAACCTTTAACTCCTATGATTTTTTATACGTTAAAACTTGTATAAACTAGAAGACTTGACACCAGGCAAGCCGATAGAAACTGTGAAGTGAGGTAACTGTTGTCAGTAGAAGTAAATAAAATGAACATGTTTCCACTTCTCTTCCAGTCACGAACCTTGCAAGGTGGAAGATCTGAACGAAATGAATTTCTCCTTCTTCATGCATTCGCAAAAGAGTAAGTAACAATTTTTTTTTAATTTCCTTCATATATTTTCTTTGGACCCAAAAGTTTGTGTTTGTTATCCGTAGAATTTTTAAGGTGTCGATTATTTGAATTGGCTTTGAAAAAAGCAAAGATTTAGTAAACTAAAGCTTTTCGTTTACTAAAAGCTTTAGTTTACTAAATGTTTGCTTTTTCCAAAGCCATTTACAAGTTTTGTACCACCAAAAGATTGTTTGCATTATTTGAATTATTAAACTCAAGCAGAAAAAAACTTTACGTAATTTTTGAATTAATAAAGGTTTATTTAGCTGTAATAATATGTATATTTGCTTCAAGCCTGTCAAAGACTTTAAATTTCTCACTGTTCTCCAGAATTGGTCTTGATATGACCGCCGTTTTGCACATGTCTATGATCCCAATCTTATTTTAGTATGCTTTTTCTCTCTTAAGCATTTTATGCTTAGTGTCTGTTCTGTTCTTCAGAAACTACATCTGTCCCGACAAAAGCTATTCGAAGAAACCCGAGGTATTTTGAATTTATGTCATTTTTAACCATACACTTTTTTATAGGAACAATTTCTTAAGAACACGGGCCTCAAAATTGATCAAAAGTTAAGAATAAATTAAGAACAAACTGAGGCGGAGCTACTGTAAAATGCAATTTTGAACAACGTTTCATCTCAAAACGAGGATTTTAGCAGTGTGTAGGTGTTTTTTAGGTGAGTATACAAACTTGTCGGCAAATAAAGGTTGTCTCATTCACTTTGTTGGCAAATGAGGCCTGAATACCTCCCTAGAGCGAAAAAGCTAGCAATCGCACTGTTTATACCCTATTAATTTAAGAACAAATTACAAACAATCCAGCATCAGATTTTCGAAAAAATTAAGAACTGTCAGCCTCAACTTTAATTAACTGACTCTGATTTATTACAGCGCGTGTTTAATGAGTGGTTAAATAGAGAAAGGTAGAAAAAATAAAGAAATATTCAAAACGTCTTAGAGAGCTTTTGTATTGTTCACCCGAAAAATAATGTAGTAATATGGAGTGGGTAGAGATAGGTGTATGCACATCTGTTGAATACCACATCTGATCATGCCAGTCAGTATTATTGCTATGAGCGGATCTTTTGTCTGAACTGTATAACACTTCTTTTAGGCCCACTTCAACGAGCATGGAGAACTGGTAGAAGATTCGAAGAAGGCGAAGGGTAGAAAAAAGCCTCAGTATGCTGGTGGTTTGGTTTTGGAACCTAAAAGAGGTGAGCCTTTAGCTCTTTTCTTGCTTTCTGTGAAAAATGACAGGAAAGCTTCCATAAAGTAGATACTCTAGATTACAACCCGTCACATCTTATATATCTGGCCTCATCAGCAAATGTATCCATATCAGAAAATTTTTACATATTTCATATTCTATATTAAGTAAGGAATTTCGAAAAATTGTATATATATTTCATATTCTGCGTAACCAATCGTACTGTCATTGATTTTGAAATCTGATACTATCAGAAAACAGTACTACGGTTGCATGTATTTTTGCTTAGTTTTAAAAGACAACTTTATTTATAATTAGTGCAAGTGTTTTAAGGTTATACAAATATTAAGACGTACAAGCTTAGTTCTCAAGAAGATAAATTTCCAAGAGTTCTAAAAGTCATGTTTTGTTTCATTTACCATGCCTTCAAGCCTAAGCCATGTCTTCAAACCTTACCCGAATTGTATGTTCTCTTTGTTCCAGTTTCGTAATTTTCCTTGACGATTAAATTTTATACGATTCTATAAATTTTATACTTTTTTTACATAAACGGTTGTAGAATTTTGAGTCTTTTCCTTTGGATTTTAGGTTTCTACGACAAATTCATTCTGTTACTCGACTTCAACAGTCTTTACCCCTCCATAATCCAAGAGTACAATATCTGCTTCACCACTGTGACTAGAGATTCCAATCAGAATGGTGATGACGTCATCCCAGAGGTGCCTGACTCTAGCTTGCCACCTGGTATATTGCCAACTGAAATCAGAAAGCTTGTTGAAAGGAGAAAGCAAGTGAAAAGTATGATGAAGACTGTCAGCCGAGATTCCGATGCCTACTTGCAGTTTGATATACGCCAAAAGGCTTTGAAGCTAACTGCAAACAGTATGTATGGTTGTCTTGGCTTCACCCATTCTAGATTTCTTGCTAAACCACTTGCTGCCATGGTTACACTGAAAGGAAGAGAGGTACATATGTATGCCCTGGGATTTTATCTTGTAATATTCTCATTTATTACTTTGATTAACTACTAGTTACCAATGGCCGTCAGCCAAGCAACAACTAGTCAATTTTTCAACCTTTGCTGACAAACTGATTTTTTGCCGTTGAAAATCATATCGACCACAGTATGGGGAAGCCGTGAAACTTTTACAATTTTATGAAATCTTTGTTAATGTATAGGTATGGCTTTGATTTAAGAAGCCTTTGTGATTTGATTAAAGAACAATCTAGCATTTGGAAGTGCAACTTACAACCACACTGTATTTTACCCAAGGACATCGCTGCGCTTTCTACACGGTATCAAATACCCTAAAAAAAGATTTTTAAACAAGAATATTTGACGAGGGAGCACTTACTGTCTTTGCAGAGATATTACCGTTTTTATAGCAACTTAACTTTGACGCCCTGAATTGTACGCTTTCTTAATTACCATTTTCGACAATTGTGTTTAAGATCCTCATGAAAACGAAAGACTTGGTACAAGCTTTGAATTTTGACGTCATTTATGGTGACACTGACTCGATCATGATCAACACAAATTCTATTGATTTTGACGAGGTTTACAAAATTGGAAATAAGGTACGATTTTTGCTGTCTTCTGCTGAAACCTGTTTATAATAACTTCAATGATATTGTGTTACAAGAAAAGACAACAAATTTGCTACAAAGATCTACAAATAGCTACATAATGTTTGCATGTTTAAACTTTCTTCAAAGTCAGGTATCTTTAAAAATGCAAGAAAATAATCAAAAACGAATATTATCTTATATTGAATTGATCTTTGCGTTTTTAAATACCAAGCATGTTGAAAAGAGCGATGCAGTCTTTGATAATACTGACTCCAGGATTGACGCACACAAATGAAGCTAATTATATTTATTTAGCAAACCTTGATTTTTTCAGATCAAAAATGAAGTCAACAAGCTTTATAAGCTATTGGAAATTGATATTGATGGCATTTACAAATCAATGTTGTTACTCAAGAAAAAGAAGTGAGTCTTGCTTTATAAGCCATATGGCTTGGGGGATCTTTCTTTTCTTGTTCAACATCGAAAGAAGGGCAAAACATTCAGTAATTTTTGTCGATTTCACAAAGCACTTATCTGTTAAACCTTGGCGAAACATTAATCAATTATTTTATTACACTATTAAGGAGAGTAAATTGCTCGTTAAAAATTATGATTTTGCGGCAGACAATATTGGAAAATTTCTTAATGTAGTGTAAAGAGAAGAAGAAAGTTAAGAATAGAACCCCGAGGAGTCGATTTTCAGAAGAAACATTTTAACTATATTTTCTAACCTTCGATACATTTATTTTCATTATCAGTCTATTTTACTCAAGTTTTATGAATTAAAGCTTTGTCAACTGTATAAGCTCCACACACCCTCAAGTGATAGCATCATCAATAAATTCAGCATTTAGCATATCACATTTATGTCAGAAGAATGTGTTTCTTATTTCCCACTCAATCTAATTTGATTATTCTTTAGGTATGCAGCACTCGCAGTTCAAAAACTTGAAAACGGTTAGTTTGATTATTTTATGTTTTTCCAGTGGCTCTTAGCAGATGAAGGAAGCACTCATTTAATTTAATTGCTTCTTTTCTAAATTCCAATTCTAATTTCTAAAGTATCTTCTTCAATCCCGTTTGATACAGATATGATAACTGACGATTTTTGCATCAAACAGGTCATGTTATTGAAAGCAAAGAGTTAAAGGGGCTTGACGTTGTGCGAAGAGATTGGTGCGATTTAGCCAAAAATCTGGGAGAGTAAGGATCTTTTATTTATAGCTTCATAAAACTTTGCTCTGCGTGTATTCTTTAAATGCCATTTCTTACTTAAATACTCCCCTATCTAACTGTTGTTCAAAGTCTCAAATCTTTTAGAATTTCATAACTTTTAGAGTTTAGAGTTTTAGAGTACTAAGTTGAACTTGTTCCATGTTGAACTACTTTTGATATTTATTTGCTTTCAATTCCAAACCGCTCTGAAACCATTACTGCATTTTTGATGTATCATTTATTGATGGTGTTTTTCATAACTATTCTACGCTGAAATCCTTCTCTTTTACAGATTTGCAATAAACCAAATTTTGTCTGGTCAATCTTGCGATACTGTCATTGACAACATCCACGAACGCTTGGTGCAAGGTAAACGAACTTCTAAGACATATTTGTTAGGCCATTATCTCCTTGAATACCTTCGTTTCGCGTGTGCTCGCCGTTCATATGCATCTAGGGAGACAGCTCAAAGCATCATTCTCGTAAAAGGACCTCCTGTGTTAACTGCCTATTTGGAAATCCGGAAAGGCGATCAATGCTTCAAGGGATGCATATCTCTCAACACCGTCACTTTCCCCTGGTCTGCAGTATGGTCGTTCAACAAGCTCAACTTGTTCTCTGCCTGCTTTTTACATTATTTTTACATTTCCTAATTTAATTGAGGGGATAAGTCGTATAAGTTCCTTGACATACAGTTAAAGAAAATTGGCTCGCACAAAAATCATTAGATCCAATTACCTGAAATATTTATTACTTGACCAGTAGTCCAGTCTGGGGGATTCTTTCTAAAGCCCTGAAGGAAATGTTTAATCTTATGTGCTTTTTCAAGTTCCTAAACCTTGATTCTGAACCTCTTGAAATAACTGTTTTATTCATCGTTTGCTTTATTGCTCATATTTATTTGTGATTCTTTTAGTGAAAGAGCAAATGGCCGATAATAAAGTACCGGCAAGATTGTTTGAGATATCGAAGGTATATAGCAACAACAAAACTTTTACTCTGTCAGTATTCAAGTAGTATAACCAATCGTTATCTGTAATCAATTCTTTGCTTTTTAATAAATGAGTTATCTAAAGATTCATTGGCTAAAAATGTGTTTATTTGAAAGCAACATTTTTAGTTGCAAACTTTTAAAGCAAACTTTAACAGGATATTGTTTGGTCAGATACGTGAGCTTTTGCTTCTTACTTAGGCCCTTGCAAAGGCCCCGGATGAGTACTCAGACACGAAGTCATTGCCCCACGTAACTGTTGCGCAAAGGCTCATGAGTCAAGGCAAGAGGGTGGCAGTTGGAGATACTATACGCTACATCATCTGTGACGTAAGTTCTTAAAATTGGTAGAAGCATTGTTTCACGGTTTAGTCAGAATTTTTGGCCTAAATCTAAAACCGTCATGATAGAATCAAGTTAAAGAAATAGAGAAAAAGCATTATTTAGCATCTCTTTATGGAAACAAATTTCAATCAGTGAGTAGTCGTTTTTGCAAAATGGTTGTATTTGCGAGGTAAATAGATGTCTTCTGTATTAAATCTGCATGTAACCATTTATCTTTCAGGATGGATCTAGTCTTCCAGCAAGTCAACGTGCTTATCATCCAGATGAATATTCCAAAAATAAAAATCTCAGGATTGGTAAATTTTGATTTTACTATTCTGTTTTTCATTGCGTTGCTATCGTCAGTTTTAATTAGTTTTTTGTGGTGCTGCTTGCAAGGTAATGCTAGGCTTGCCTTATGACTATCAGTCATTAAGAAAACAAAATAATAATCAAGAAAGAAAGCCTACGTCATATCCTAAAAGCTTTAACAATTGTTGAAGATTGAAAAGGATGTTTTTTCACGAATCTCGTGACTTATGATGGCGGAAAAGAAGATATAGCTAATATTCTGTCTATGTTATATCTAAACTCTCAACATTGTATTAGGATTAGGGTAGAGGTAACGGAAGAGGTGTTTTTCATGAAACGAACAAAAATAATGACACAGTACCAAAGCTGTTGAGTATTCTCTGTAACCAGGACAAGCATTGCCGTAATTATTATGCAAAGGCTGCCCCAATTCTAATTTCGATTATCAATTTTGTTCTTTTTATTTTTCAAAGATCATCATTATTATTTGGCCAACCAAATACACCCTGTTGTATCTCGATTGTGTGATCCAATTGAAGGAACAAACGCAGCCCTCATTGCAGAATGTCTTGGTGAGTAGCAATTACCTTCATCGCATAAATTGATAAACATGGATTGAACAGTCATTGATCTAACTTTAAATTTGATCCGTATTCATACTCCTTACTAAAGAGTCAGTCCCATTGTATCACGATCTGTTTCTGTTCAGGGCTGGATGCTTCAAATTACAGTGCTGGGCCCTCTCATGCCACAAATGAAGATGATAGTCATGCGAGCAAAGCTCTGATGCCAGAAGAAGAACGATTCAAGGTGTGTAACAATTATTTATTTCGAAACCATGACAAACAGAAGCCTCTTCAAAGCCCAATGCGAAATATTGTTCCATCTGATATTGATAATCTTCATTTCAGCTGAAAGCTATTTTCAAGAAATTAATCATGGGTATTTTGGGAGCATTTCTTTCTAAAGGCAATAACACAAATCTATTTTCTAGGATGTTGTGAAATTTGAGATTCAGTGCCAGAATGCTTCTTGTAAATTGTACAAACAGAGCGTCGTTTTTGAAGGAGCACTCTCCAAAGAGAAGGTAAGCCTTAAATCTAGCTGCTTACCTTGTCCTCAAATAGTACTTCGCCTTTGCTATCTGTTTCTTTGAGCCCAGTCCTTTCTCACAAGCCCAATAACCTCCACGAGACTGTAATTCTAAGGCTGCGGTAGCAAATCTGATCGACTGACTCTAAAGAATACTTGCGTTAACAAAGATAAATTATTACTTAAGGAAGGCCAGAGACACCGAAGTGCGCCGAGAGAAAACGAAAATGGTGACTAATTAACAATTAATGACTGATATTTCTCCCCGGTATACACGACTTCTTCAAAGCTCCTTGATTAAAAAATCCAGTTGCTGTAGTCAGTTTGTACCCACCAATTACCTTCATACTTTTATCATCTGCCTTTCTATTTCCTGCAACAACGTTAGCTATAATGCTCTTTACAAACAAACGTTTCAACCCTTCCGACATTTGTATCATGAATTTATTTTACAAGCCATTGTCATCATGAATTTTTTGCTTTTACCACACGTCTTGTCACTTTGTTTACAACTTGTTTTCCTTTAGAATCCATGGCAATGCACTGAATGCAGGAATGAATACAGCCAAATTTATCTGATGAATAAACTCACAATGTTTATAAGGCAGCACATCAATCAATATTACAAGGTAAATGCCTATTTTCGTTGTTAAATATACCTGAAGAGTCTTAACAGATTCAGAGGAAAACAGTTGATTTGTTCTAGTCGGGCTAGACGATGATAGTCCAAGAAGAGGATGTTTTTTTTGATCGATCATAACAATCCAACTCCTACGTCTTGAATGATACAATTCAAAAAGAGAGTGAAATCATCTTTTCGCTTTTACATATTTGTTTGAAACTACCGTTGGATTGATATAGCTTTAACTCAACTAAAAAAAATCTTGCTAATGTAAAATCAGTTCATTTAGCACATAACAGTTTTTTCATGGCCACACGAAATAGAAGTGCAACTTTTAATTGACTCAGTCTACAAGGTTGGAGATGTTACTATAAAACAGTCGATTTTTTGCATCAAAACGTTTTTTGCCATTTATAACAGGATTGTTTGTGTAGTGTAGTTTTTTAATATTTATTGATCCTCAGAAAGGCAAAACTTTAAGTTAGAATGAATTGCTTGCTGTGGATAAATTTGCACATAAATGCTAAACTTGCTCATTTCGAGTAAAATCTTTCAGGGTCACATGTTTTGTGATGACTACATGTGTGGAACCAAAACGAGACTCGTTCGTCTGAAGGCAGAATTTGACGGCCAAGTTTGTGCAAGTTGTGAAACTGGACATCTAAGACAGATTGTACGTATACTGTTTACACCAATGCAGCTAGAAAGATTGTTGATTGATTAACACATTAGCATTGGAAGGAGTTTGCCTGCATGTTTTCAACTCAGGGTCCTTGCTTGGTTTCTACAGGATCCTCAAAGCCGATCCATTAATTTAATCTTTTTTTTATCGTTTTTTGAACATCTTGTAAATTGCAGCCCATTTTAAGGCACTTTTGTTAGAGTATATGAAGTAGCCACCTTTTAAGCTATCCTTAAGAATTAGGCTTGTCATTAAATATGGACAAGGGTGTTCTTTTTTGTACCTAATGATGTTAACAGTTTGCTTATGCGAGTTTGCATGGCAATTTTTCCATTTTTTCTGACTCTGAGACTAAGGGTTTTTATTCGGGTTGCTGTTTCTTGTTTCAGTATTCAGAAGCCAAATTGTACAATCAACTATACTATTTGCGTCGAGTATTTTGTGGCAAAGCCGATGGCTCTACGAAGGTTCCTAATAAAGCTCCTTTTGGTGAGTTGCCATTTTAGCTCTATTGGTATTTAACGTTGTAATTAGGCACTGTCAGTGAAGTTCTAGGGGTATAGTAGCATCTTTTGTAAGAGGTGTATAAACTACCAGAATGTGGCTTTGTGTATGATGCCCTCTGTGCTTAAACCTTTAGTCTTTTTTTTAGTTCATAGTCTCTTTGTAGTAAACTTGTAACGTCTTTGTCGACTGTGAGGAAATTTCAGCGTCATCTCAATTTTAGCTCTGTATTAGATAGTATTGGGTTTCTAGACTCTGCCGTTCAAATAGCATTGACAGTAAGCGAACACGTGCTCTTGATCAAGAATATTTTTAGAAGAATTGCGTAAAAGTACCAGATACCCTAAAGATATTATGGCAATATTCCTTGGCTGTCGCTGTAGTTTTTTTTAACTTTCTTTAAATAACACCTTCTTTCACTTTCTTACAGAGAAAAAGCTGAATAGCTTGATGCAACTGAATGGCTTTTCTATCGTCAACATGAGTGACTTGTTTGGGTTCATGAGTAAAATAAAGTCCTAAATATCTTCCTCCTTAATTCGTTGTAAGACTGGTTATTGTTGAGCCAGTTTGAAAATTTTGTAATGCAAAATAGCCAATTTCTTCTCAAATGTAAAAAAGGCTTTGAAAATAGTTTGCAAAGTAACGAAGTAAGATATTCATCTCCTAATTGTCATTTAATGTTGTATTTAGAAATACGCATCCACCTCTATTGGTTTTCAGTATGTCCCTGATAATGCAAATGTATTTGGGGAAAAATATTTGCCCTTCTTGTGAAGTGAATATTTCTAAATTGTTTTGGGATTCTACAAAGTATCTGCCAGAGTTTTGGAAAGACTTGCATGCCCATCCGCTGGACTTTTATGCAAAGAGCCCGAGCTTCATTTTTGAATATTTTTTATTCGTTATTTGCTCTTATTATCTCGATGACATTTTTTGCCATTTTTGTTAACATTGTTAGGTTTTTGTACTGTACTTTTAACGTGCTTATAAATAATGATTGTTAAAAACATGTTGTCAATGTTGAAAAAGTCAAAAATTTATAGAATATATTTCTTTTGAACATATTGTCAGCTTTTTCTGTTTACTTGCCTACGCTTCATAGGCCTTTTGAGAACTTACAGATGTCTTGAGAACAAGCAATTTTTTTATTTGCTCTGTTGTGTAGTTGTGATAATTCTATGTGAAAGTTGTGGGAATTTTATCATATGTTTCCAAAAGTTAATGAAAATACTTAGAACTTATTTATAGCCTAAAAAGCAACTGAAACGTTAATTTATCGCTATCTGCAATTGCAAAGTGTACGTAACTTTGAATCGCTATTTATTGAAAATGCAGACAGGGCATTATTTATATGACTGTTTGATTTTGATCGAAATTTAAATACACCTATTTCACTGCACCGAATTCTCGTGGCTGCACATCATTGAATAACGCTGCACAGCCGCAATAAAGGCGTGGGCTCTAATTTCGGCGCGATATTCAAAATGGTATCCCTGTTACTGGAAGCGAACGATTATCAAGAATGGGGAATTCTGATGAAGAATTGAACAGTGTACGCTGTTTGTTTTCTTTTTTGAAAGAAACTCTATGGACTAGAAACATTTTAGAAGTAAGTACGACCATTATTTTTAAAGTTCCAAACGATTCTCCAAATGTCTTCTCAATGAATGATGAGGTTTATCTAGAGGGACTTGATTGCAATGTGGCTTCTTCACAAGTTTTCTTCTCAACGATAAGATATTTGTTGGTTTAATAAGATTCATTAGTTGATGCTAGCAGTCTAACGAAATTTCATTCCTAGTTGCAGAGTTGCTAAACTGTAATTGTTGAAATGCAGAAGGGCATTATTCAATTAGTTAAAGCTAAATGAGCAAAAGTAAAACATCTGAATTGACTAAAGATTTTACTTTGGCTCAATTTGATAAATGTAAATTGCTGTGACCTTTTTCATTTTTAACATGGTTTTGGAGATAATTTGGAGAAGGCACTGAGTAAAGCTGCATAATAACTCCTTATCTTTGTGAAGTGAAAATCGTTATAAAAGGCCGAATCGTTTAAAAATACCTAAGAAAACTGAATATTTTTATCACTGCAACCTATCTGATAAAAATAGGAATCTAGTTCCACTCATTTGCAGTCAAACTTACGTTAAACCTTTTTTGTAAGAACCAGTAAATTTATGTTTAGGCTGACAGTTCTTAATTATTTCGAAAATGTGATACTGGATTGTTCTTATTTTATTCTTGAATTAATAAGGTGTAAGTAGTGCGATTGCTAGCTTTTTTTGCTATAGGGAGGTGTTCAGGCCTCACTTGCCAACAAAGTGGATGAGACAACCTTCATTTGTTGCCAAGTTTGAAAATTCACCGAAAAAGCACCCAAACATGGTTAAAAATTTTCGTTTATGGGATAAAACATTGTTCGAAATTCCATTTTACAGTAGCTCAGCCTCAGCTTGTTTTTTTGACCAATTTTGAGGCTCGTGTTCTTATAAGATAGTTTTTTAAAAAATTAAGTATAATTGTGTATGCTATGCATGTTTCTTGTGTATCATTGTAATGTTTCCGTCTCAAATCGCTTAGTGTCGAAGTATCAAATTATCCCCTTATCACTCCCGGATATTTTGAGTAAATTAAGCTGTCGCACATGATTGACACAATGATTGGCAAACATTGAGCGAACTTCGATGTTTTTCTTGCGCCTGTGTTATTTCAAAGCACTAAACGTGCAGCTAAAATTAAGAAAATATTAAGTAATTTTTTGTAGTACAATGTGAGCAAACGATATTAATTATGAATGAACTAGGCCTTGAGCTTTGCCCCTAACAAGTGTATTCAGTCAAATAGACCAAAAGACGAAAAATGGGGAACGAAAAGTGCTCCCAATCATTAGGGTTATTGTCTTAACAAAAAATGAAAATAAGGTTCCAGACATCAAATGTTGAAAGGCATGAGGTTAATTGTCACTGCCACAGCAGAGAAGGACACGTGGTCACCTAATTCCCTCTACCAGAAGACCAGAGTCCAGAAAAGTTGTTAACCTTTCTCCAGACAAAAACATCCCAAAAGGCAAACCTTCCTCACAAAACAACAGAAAGTGGGCGTGGTTTGGGTGTGTCAAAGGAGGTTCTATTGTTTTTCGTGGACCTTCCTCCGGTCAGTGGCCGTGCGACCGTAATGTTTTTCTGACTCTGCAGAAGACAATATCGGTACGTTTCCAAACTTCCATTCAAACATTCAAATCTTTTTTCTGTTGTACTAAAGCACAATGAACAGCTTGTAATTACAATGAACAAATTTATCCTCGAGGCATATATAACATTTATATTCTTTTCGTTTATTCATCAAAATCCTTGTCACTTACCAATGCCATCATGAACAACAAGATCTCCCTTTTTAATACGATCAACCAGTTTCACTACCATTTGCAAATCAAATGAACGTCCTTCCCCCGTCATGCTCAACATTAGAATCCAAAATAATGAAAGTAATCGGCTTTTAACGGAAAATTGTAGATTATGACGTCAGATTGATAATCAAAATTTCATAGTTTTCCTTAATACTCTTTCATCATATCTTATCATCAATTCTTGCATTTCATAAGATTTTTTGCTTATAAAAATATTCCAATGCGTTGTCACTTACCAATGCTATCATGAGCAACAAAGTATCCTGTTTCATATTGTCAGCAACTGCCAATACTATCCAATAACAAAGCCGCTGTCCGTCCTTAAACAAGCTCAAGATTAAGATGCAAAATTATGATGGCAGTTGGTTTTTATCGTGTAATTATTGATTGTGACGTAAGATTGATTGATTGGAAGGTTATGGCAGCGAGGCTTTTGCTAATTGTTGGTTCAACTAATGGCACACAATTTTGTGAAGATATATTTTTGTTACGTTTTCTCTTGATGCTCTTTGTATATAAACTTAACAACAAGATCCCAAAAGACAAAATCTTTGCAACCATTTCCACCAATACGTTCATCCACCATTTAATGGCTTGGTCACAAGAAGGCTAAAAATCTGATTTCTATTAGCCTTTGCTATGTTATTATCAAAATAATTTCTTTTATTTCATTACTGAATCAAGGGATTTGATAACTAAAGTTTCCACTACATACTCTTGTTTCTAATGCTCTCTTTAATTTGGAGCCTTCTTATAAAAATCACGACAACCAAGCTTTACGTTTCATGCAAACTTCTTCATTTTTATCGCAATTTCCTTGGCCCGTTTAAAGAAGAATACGAGATATCATGTAATCCACCTAAAGCTCTTTTCATAAGCCAGTTATATAATTCTTCAGTAGCTATACAATTTGACGCTCTTCAAGTTATTTCTTCACAAAAGCAGGAAGACTTCAAAAACATCTTCAGCCTCAGAACTTTCGATCACTAGATTCAGCTTCGTCTATCAGCGATGCAGCGAAAATGGTGGATATATTTTCTGTTTCTGCACGCCATTCAAGTCTTGATTGTTAACATCCTAAAAGTCTAGCTTTCTGATTTGGTTCCACTACTCTAATGTAAGTTACACTTACATTGATTTGACTCCACTACTCCAATGGAAGTTGCACTTATATTAAAGATTTAGATTTTTGCTGCTTATTCTCTGTCTTGAGTCTATATTTTCTCATCACGTCATACCTGTCTTTGGAGTATTGTTTAGTTCTCCGTCTTTTTTCATCTTCAATTTCATTGAAACCACTTTTCATCACTTTTTATTTTTCAGCCTTTTCAATTATTCTCTCATTGCTGATTTGATATTGAATGAGTTACCATATTATTGACCTATGACTGGCACTTTCAAATGGTATAAATTTTTCTATGTGAAGTGCCAAGACTTTTATCAACATAATCATTACAACCAATAAAAAATGTATTTGCCACCAACAAACAAATATTAAGGCAACAGCAAAGCCTAATCATTTGACTCTTAGTTAGACAATTTTACATTTAAAAAAGATCTTGGCAAATTTCAAATTCTTAACTTTTCTGTTAAGCGTGGTCTTAGTATTTCCATGAACAAACGTTATGTCCTCATTGTATATCAAAAATTTTTATTCATTACAAAGTTCCTTATATCAGCCGGCTTTAAAGTGATTTAATGAGGAACCAATCGGCTATATTTTTATTTAAATGATCAGACTTTTGCTTTAATCATATCTTAGATTTATGTCCTGCAATTTTTGGCAGTTCGCCTGCATTAAAAGACTTCAAATTTCATCCTAGGTAACAAACTTAATCATTTTATCATCAATTCTTGCCTTTCAAGAATTTTTTTGCTTATAAAAATATTCCAATGCGTTGTCACTTACCAATGCTATCGTGAGCAACAAAGTATCCTGTTTCATATTGTCAGCAACTGCCAATACTATCCAATAACAAAGCCGCTGTCCGTCCTTAAACAAGCTCAAGATTAAGATGCAAAATTATGATGGCAGTTGGTTTTTATCGTGTAATTATTGATTGTGACGTAAGATTGATTGATTGGAAGGTTATGGCAGCGAGGCTATTGCTAATTGTTGGTTCAACTAATGGCACACAATTTTGTAAAGATATATTTTTGTTACGTTTTCTCTTGATGCTCTTTGTATATAAACTTAACAACAAGATCCCAAAAGACAAAATCTTTGCAACCATTTCCACCGATACGTTCATCCACCGTTTATTAGCTTGGTCACAAGAAGGCTAAAAATCTGTTTTCTATTAGCCTTTGCTATGTTATTATCAAAATAATTTCTGTTATTTCATTACTGAATCGAGGGATTTGATAACTAAAGTTTCCACTGCATACTCTTGTTTCTAATGCTCTCTTTGTTTTGGAGCCTTCTTATAAAAATCACGAAGCTTTACGTTTCATGCAAACATATTCATTTTTATCGCAATTTCCTTGGCCCGTTTAAAGAAGAATACGAGATGTCATGTAATCCATCAAAAGCTCTTTTCATAAGCCAGTTATATAATTCTTCAGTAGCTATACAATTTGACGCTCTTCAAGTTATTTCTTCACAAAAGCAGGAAGACTTCAAAAACATCTTCAGCCTCAGAACTTTCGATCACTA